TCTACCCGTCAACATTCTAATGTCTGGACCAGCAGGGGGTGTTCGAGGCGTCGCAGATATTGTGGCTAAGAAAACGAAATATCGAAATCTGATAACATTGGATATGGGTGGCACTTCAACCGACTGTGCACTCATTTCTGATGGAACTCCTGCGATTCGCAGAGAGACGGCTATCGACAATCTGACAGTAAGAGCTCCATCAGTGGACGTCAAGTAAGTCTTATTTTGCCCATCATGCCATCATGCCATCATGCCTCTTAGTTAACCATCATCAGGACTGTTGGTGCAGGTGGTGGATCAATAGCACAATACGTTGAATTGACATCTACAATGCGCGTAGGTCCAGAATCGTCTGGGGCAGATCCTGGGCCTGCTTGTTATGGGAAGGGTGGAAATAACGCGACTGTGACTGACGCAAATGTTGTACTTGGGTATCTTCCAGATAAACTTCTCGGTGGAGATTTTCCACTTGACATTGCAGCTGCGAGGATTGCGGTCCAAAACGTTGCCAAGCAGATGGGATTATCGATAGATGAAACCGCTCAAGGCATCTATAACTTGGTTAACGAGAAGATGTACAACGCTTTACACAACGTTTCCGTTGAACAAGGTTATAATCCCGAAGACTTCTCACTAGTTGCATTCGGAGGAGCTGGTCCTCTGCATGCGAATGCAGTAGGAAAATTACTAGGAGCTTGGCCAGTTATTGTTCCACCTGCTCCAGGTGTTTTGTGTGCACAGGGTGATGCCACGACAAAATTGAGCCATGAGCAGTCTATTTCTTACATCAAACTTCTTACGGATGCCACACAAAGTGATATCTTCGATGCTCTAACTGAACTAAGGGCAAGGTGCCAAGATGTAGTTCTTAAAGCATTAAGCCAGTCGACCCCTCTGAAAGTCGAGTACGAAGCAGATCTCAGATACAAAGGCCAGGCTTTGACAATATCCATCCCACTTCTAGTAGAAGATTTTGCACTTGATTCGTTGAACTTCATCAAAGCGATCAAAGAACGATTTCACACAGCTCACGAACAGCAATATAGCTTCTGTCTTCCCGATTTCGAATTGGAAATGATGCGACTTGGTACAATTGTTACAGATGATTCTACGGACGTGGAACTTAATTCTATCGAAATTGCTCCTCTTGGTAGCATCCACACACCTCCACATGATGCTATCATTAGTCGAAAAATGATTAGTACCGATGGAAAAATGATGGAAGCGATATTTTGGGAAAGATCCAAGATCACGAAAGCTGGATATAGGGTTCAAGGACCTTGCGTGGTATCCGAAATGGATTCCAATACTCTCGTACTTCCAGGCTTTTATGGCGAAATTGATACTTTTGGAAACATCCTTATCTTTCCAGATGAGGATACAAAGTTAACGTCTGATATCGCCCATCATGATTGGGAAAGCGCTCAAGACCTCGTTCAAAAGTCACCATTAATTCCGACTTTGATCTCCTCTTCATTGCAGTCAATTAGGAATGAAATGGATACGCTTATGCTAAGATGTAGTATGTCACCTGCCATTCGAGATCAACAAGACGAATTCAATGTCATCACGAATAAGAAAGGACAGATGTTAGTGGGCCAATTTGGTAGCTTTATTACTCAGTTCCTTCAATCATGGAAAGGAACTGTTGAGGAGGGTGACGTTTTCGTCACAAATGATGTTTATGAAACTAGTGGTGCTATAAGTCATCTCAATGATGTGATTGTACTTCTTCCGATCCATTACAAAGGGGATCTCGTGGGCTGGGCGGCAAACTTCGGACATATGACGTATGTTATTTTTCCGACTCTCAGGTACCATCAACTAACTGATGATCAATAGTGATGTTGGAGGAACGGTACCAGGAAGTATGTCTATTAACTCTACTTCTATCTTCGAAGACGGGATTCAGATACCCACCGTAAAACTTTACTCTCAAGGTGTATACAATGCAGCGATTGTCGAAGTATTCTGTCGAAATTCTCGTCAACCGGATTGGTTTCGTAGTGATTTGACCGCGCTTGTTGCTGCTTGTAGAACGGCAGCTACTAGAGTCTGCGAGCTGAACGAACGATTCGGTCCTAAGTAAGTCATGTGGATCACAACTTTACTGCAGTATAACTGATTTCTATATCTAGTGTATATAGTGCCTCTTGCGACGAACTTCTCGCACGAAATCGCTCAGGTATTATGAAACTCATTGAGACTCAGATCGATGACGAGGAAAGCACATTCACTGATTTCATCGACGATGATGGTCAAGGTGTTGGACCTTATGCAATCACCTGTTCCATGAAAAAGACAAATGGAAAACTGGTATTCGATTTCAATGGTACTTCTCCGCAAGCCGAAACAGCTATCAATTTCTATCTCTCCATTACTATGTTTAAGATGTTCGTCGGGTACTACTTACTAGCAGTATTCGATCCCTATTGTGTCGTCAATGATGGATTTCATGATATGCTTGAAGTTATTATACCCGAAGGAACTATACTTCGTCCCGTACGCCCAGCCCCTGTTAGCTGTCGTACTCATCTTATGGGCCGCACAATGGATATCATCCAAGCTCTCATGGGTCAGCGGTCGCCTCAATATAGTGCTGCTGCTGGATTTTCAGACTCTCCACATTTCTTCTACTCCGGTTTCAAACCTAATGGTGAATGGTATCAACTCTACCAAATTGGCTTTGGAGGTGTTCCAGCCCGTCCCATTGGCGATGGTCCAGATTGTCATTGCTTGTTTCCGGCTATTAAATCTGTGCCCGCTGAGGCTATTGAGCTTAACTTCCCATTGCGAATCGAAGCAAATGAATCACTTGCCGATACTGGAGGCGCAGGATTTCATCGTGGTGGTAATGCACAAAGAACCTTGTACCGATTTTTGGCGAAAGGAGAATTTAGTCTTCATGATGATAGGTGGTTCACGAAACCGTGGGGAATTAGCGGAGGGAAACCAGGCATGAGATCTTGGAAGAAACTGCATTTGGTGAATGGAGAGCAAAAAATGTTGCAAAGTAAGTGTGATCATGTCAAGGTAGTTCCCGGGGATTTGTTAGAATGGGTCACCTGGGGAGGTGGAGGACTGGGTGATCCTATCACGAGACCGGCTGAGAAAGTTGCGTTGGAGGTTGAGAGGAAGTTGGTTACAATTGACGGGGCTAAGAGGAATTATGGAGTCGTAGTTAATGAGGATGATTTCTCTGTCGATAAGGAGGAAACAGAAATTTTGAGGAAAAAGATGAAGAAATCGAATGAGGGAGAAGGTGTAGGTTACAACTACAACAGAGGTGGTACCTTGGAGCAATTGAGAGAACGATGCGAGGAGGAGACGGGATTGAAAGCTCCTGTTCCACAATGGGAAAATGATCCATATGGACCACATACTGGACTAGAGTATGTGCAAGAATGGTTCAAGGAGAAAAGGGAAATTAGAGGTTGGAATTTACAGTGATGAATGTAGGCGAACTGTCTCTAGCTCCGTTATATTGATATCAATTCTATTTGAACATATTGGGTAAATCAAGTCTAACTATCCACGTCTATAGCCTGTGTATCGACTTGTTTTAGATGAGACAAAGACCTGAGTGCTACTCCATAAGCAAATTTGAGATGAGCCCCCACTATCTTCTTGCATACATCCATATCATATCCACAACCCCCACCGGATAAATCGCTGCAACTCATATTGATTGACCCCATGTTTTCTTGCAATTTGAGATATATACTGGTACATTTATACATCAATCAGAGATAATCTCCAAGCGTTTGTGGTTTAGTGGTAAAATCCATCGTTGCCATCAGTCTCTCATGTGCGAGAGTTGAATAACCTCGATGGGCCCCGGGTTCGATTCCCGGCGAACGCATTGATCTTTTGCTTTTGAAAAATACGTATCTAATTAATTCGTGGATTTGTTGTCGACTCTTGTAGTTGTGCTCGTTGGGTGGTTGTCGAGGATTGATTTGATGAGTGAAAATCTTCGTGTTGAACCTTTCTTGAAGAACCGAGAGACGCTTTGACCTCTTTTCTTTGTAATTGTTTTTAGGTGGAGAATATACTAAGCTTCTGGTATCCAATTGCGTGTCTCGAGCGTGTATGCCTCTCTACACTCATCAATTTTCACATGCGGGGATAACATGTTAAACATTATTTTTGTTATCAAAATGACATAAGCTACGAACAATGACAGTTACGTCGTTTAGTTGCTGTTATGCCCCTTCCCTCTCTTTCTCATCAAACAAATTGTCCGCGCGCCGGACTTTGCCCTTGTAGAAAGAAATATTGAATATCTTTCCTACCGACAGATATTTTCTAATTTGAACATATGGTTGAGCTCACATGTTCGAAGAGTTTACCAATTTTATTCAACCTTACCTGTGTATTATGCCCTCATACATCCTACCTCGAAGCTAACTGACCTCACTATCTATCATCCATGACCTCCCTCACCTTGTCAAGTTGTGCATTATATGCTTAGCACGGCCAATCACCATCATAAATCATATCTGAAAATCGATAATCATAACTTCCACTTATTGATATCGTGGTATTCAATTGGAGCATTAAATGGCGTCGTCGATGGTTATAAGACGATGGCGAAACGCGCTCTCCATGGAACATCTCCTCAAGATTGATGACTTTTTTCTGGAATATAGATCTCACTCGACAATAGCCCCCTCTTTTAATAAGCGAAACTTCTATGGAAAGTGCAAAGGTAGCGGTTAAGGATCACGATACAACTTGCTTGTCCTTGTCAATCCTTTGTGTTCTCTTTGACATACTATCATATATAAAGAATCTAGTGAGGAACCAGATGCGGCCTGATTTTTGAATGAATCAAGAGGTTCCTTTGTCGGAGGTGCTTATCAAAGCTCGATATTTCTTTATGGTGAAGCATTGAAAATCACATTTTTCAAATCTTTAGAATATTTATTTGATCCCAGTTATACTTCCAAAGTAGAATATCACATCTCTCATCACTATTTCATCAAAATAAGCTCGATATGGCAGATGCTTGGAAGTTCCGCTCTCGAATGCCCACCACCTCCATCGCTCAAATACAAATTCCTCCCAATCCACTCCGACGCATCAGCAAACGTAAGCGTGCCACCCGCGTAACAACTAGCGATGGATGCAAAGAATCCAACATCATCAACGAGCTGCGAAAGAAATATGAAATCGACATCGAACACCCTCCTTGCTATCCTCCCCAGTTCATTCTTCCTCAACCACCTATCCCCCGCCCAGAATCTGACAAATTGAATAGCAAAACAAGACTTGAGATGGAAAGAAGACAGTTCGCGCCATTGACTGCTGATTGGGTTTGGAGAGTCTTGACAGAAATGTACAAAGTGGATGAGAAAATATGGGGGAAATGGGCAGTTGATTTGGATGGTATGAAATTGGCGAAAGGTGATTGGAGGTATCTTTTGAAGGCTCACTATCTTTCATGGGAAGAGACCGGTGCAATGGAAGATCACGAGCTTGGCCATATCACGAACACTATTGCCGATTTGGTAAGTTGGCTTTCATAAAGTTTTCCAAGCTAGTGATGTTCATATACTTTACTTGAGTTGAATTTGAACATTTGAAGATTATTGCTGATGTGAAAAAATATGATTAGTATGTTTACATGGCTTGCGACTACAGGAACAGAGCAATAGCAAGAACACTCAGAAGTGGCGATCTAGCTGGTGACACACCAACCAAACAAAATGTCAGCTCCATAATGATTGATTCTGACAAGTTGTATTGGGATCAAGATAAAGGCCGCCTGGTGAGGCAAGGAGTGGATGAAAATGGGGAGCCTATTCGTCGGCTCGTCGAGCAAGACTTTCCCAAAGCTTGGGAAAAGACCATGAAGGCATTGGCACAGTATGATGATGAAACATTTGCGAATCTTGACTATATTGTGATTCCACACGAATTCAACGCCTTCCATACACAATGCATAGGAATAGCACCAAAGCAAAGGTTTGTCTTCCACATCGACAACTCCGGTCTGTCGGAACCCAAATTTGAAAGTACGTTAGACGATGAAAAGTACGGAGCTTACTATCATTCGTTTTTTCAAATGTCTTTAATTGAAGCTATCATATACACAAGATTCGATAAAGGAGAAGTTGACACCGCCGAGTGGCCATTGTACGGGCAGTGGTCCTACCGCACCGATCATGCACAGCCCGACAATAGAACGACAGACAACAGTCCCAATGCAACTCGACAGAATGATACCTACAACTGCGCTGTGAATACCATGGCCAGTGCCGTGAACTTGATATTTGGATATGATATGGCTTGCTATGCATCTGGAAAAGATCTTTCCCCCGTCCCTGGAACAACAGGAAAGAGAATAAGAGTCGCGGCTGAATTTTTAAATGGGGGGTTCAACTACCCATTTAATTATCCATTGTTCAAAATCCCAACAAATTTACAAGAGATCATTATTGATGAAACTTACAAGCAAAATATTCGACCTCCTCCGGCCCTGAGGCCACGGAAAGATCAGGATGGAAATTTCATAGACGAATTTGATGATGAAGACACAGAGGATGAAGCGGACCCAGAAACAGAAGAGGAGGAAGAAGAGAAAGATCCCCGAGCAGAATCTCGAACAAAGGTCAAAAAATCCACTAAATTCAAAAAGGTCAAATGGCATGGCCAGCCCGCTCTGGATTGGGATCCTGGAGAGCCACATCCGTCAGGACCAGGATCTACAGACAACGATTTACCAATACGAACTCTTTGGCCTGCTCAAATGGATCCTACTAGAACAGGGAAATGTGGCATTATATACCCGATCACAAACCCGCGCTTCTCGGGTCCAATGTACGATGATGTATTTGAGTGCAAGAGGGCAGCCATATTCCTTGAAATGAAGGGATGGGAACTGTGGGAGAAAATGCCATTATTTTTGTTCAAGCGTTGGATGGAGAATGTAATGGCAGGTAGAGAGCATGAAGAGATGTCCCCATGGGTGGAAGTGCTCAAGCTTGATGGACCTGTTTTCTCCGAGACAAAATACTGATGAACGGAAGCGAAGATGCTTAACAAGACTTTTTGACTTTTTCCGAACAGTCTTTTCAGAAATTGTGCTCTCAGATGTTACTGATTCTAAATTTGTTTGCGTTTGAATAAATACATTGCTCATATTTTCTCATTGAACCTACACTACAAATCACTATCTCAAGTCTTCATGAAATAATTATTCAAGGTGTTTTTCTGTGGTGACTTGCCGACTTTCTTTGTCGATGCGTCTTGCTCCGACTTTTCGGCTTTTTCACCGACCTTCATTAACTCACATAATTCTTCGAATTCGGCAAAATTGACAATTCCACCCGAGGCCTCCTTGTGGCCACGAGCAAAGTTCTCTCCTAGTCTTTCAACTAAATCTGTAGTATCCAAATTGGCTACTGCTTTTAATGACTCGATAATATTGACTGGTGGATCGCGACCTCGCGCACATCTAGCAATCCGACATGAGAAATTTACTTTGCCAGGCAGGTAGCCATAATTGGCCACCATGACTATTTCTAGGGCTTTAGATTTCAAGAAGCCGGCCTTTGTAGAATGGTTAGTGAGACGGAATGATTTCAGTGACTCAACACATACCCATCGCGTAGCAATAACCGGGTGGACTTGAGCTTCGCTTTCCATTTTCAATACCGCAATTTTCCCATCTTTACTGAATTTTGGTGGCGTATGAGTCTGTTTTTCAACTTCTTCGTTGATCTCGCGTCTTGCTTCTGCGAGCCTCTTATCTGTCATGATTTCCTTTGGATCTTTGGCTCCGAGTAATGCTTTCCAAGCAGTAATAACATCATAAGTACCAGTTCTTCGTGCTATAGAAGTTCAGCGATTGAGATTTAGAAATCCATTGAACATACGAGCGTTAATCAAAGAAACACAATCATTAATGAGCTTTTTGGTATGTTTCTTAAAAGTATCTTTCATATCGGGAAATGGGGGTAACCATTTTACGGTATTCCCCAGATCTCCATGTGTTCCTATTGTGCAAAGATAGCCACATTCTTGAGCAATATCAGAATGAACTTCTTTACAAATCTCGTAGGCCATGAGAGCTGTCGTTGGGACTGGAGGGCAATGGCAGCCTGAGACAACCTCGCCTCGTATGTTAGTATCTTTGCCACAAGAAGGATCTTTTATACCTTACAGTCGCATTTTTGGGAAAGTCATCACTTAAGTGATGATCAATGATCATACATTTCGCACTCTCGTCATCAATGACAGGTAAACCACCTCGACTTCCTTGGTCTAAAACAATGACATATCTAGGTTGCATTTCTGCCATTGCCTTTCTTTCGTATTCTTCATGGATATTCGAACCTTTCCGCACTAAATGAACACTCAAATTCTTTTCTTCCAGTCCGAGTTTTATCAAAGTACGATACATGATTACCCCAGCACTCAATCCATCTGCATCTTTATCCGGCACAATAAGAGTGGGTTTTTGAGCCGTCGCGCATTCTCGGATGAATTTGTAGGCAGATTCTAGCTGATCACGTGGCGCGGGCCAAATCTCTTCGCCTGCGGAAGTACGACGGACAGGAGTATTGCAGTAATCATCGATTTTGATGGCCTTTTTTGGCGACTCTGATATGGTTTCGGCCTTTCTCTTAATTCCACGATCCATTGTAGGAACTTGAAGAATTAGATTTAAAGGGCTGGGGCGTATTGATAATTTTGCAGACAAACTATTGATCCAAGGCCTAGCGGAAGCGGTATGATATGGAAGACTTCTTCGAGCCAAGTTACGGAGAACAAAAAGCATCGATAGGCTTCAAATGTACACAAAAGAGGGTGAATACAAAATTTATATGTAGAGAATGGTTTACATATAATCCGTGTACAATATAAAATGAAAATGGTGGTTTTGCTTTGCTGAAGAAAGTTCGCGATGGTCAAGGGGTTCAGGTTAATCATGACGTAATCCATAATCCATCGGACTAACCAAGCCACCGAATCTCCCTTCTTTTCACAATACCATTCAATACCTTTGCCGGAATCAATTGTTTATAGAATGGAGAGAATCATGATAAAATTCGATTGACCCCTTTTTGGCTTATGTTTCGCATCAGCATATCGGTTTGTTGTTCCATGTTAAATCGTCCATAACACAATTCGCATGGAATGTGATGTGATGTACGTACAGGCCGGCGATGGTTGCCGTCGCACTTTAGGGAAGGTTAGCATAACAAATGATCTCGTGCGTAGCATTTGATATGAGAGATGAGGAAGACTATAATCTAGGGGATAACAGGGAGCACTCCTCAGGTCCTTTCTACAATTGGGTTCAAATGATACATCTCACTAATTATATTTTCATTCACAAGCTTGCACATTTGAAGATTCGGTACGTTCATTTCATTTTTACAAAAGGCAAAGTTTTTCCATTTTTTTCTGTTTTTCTAGGGGTTTTCTATCGAATCGAGGAATCAAGATCACCGAAGAGTGCAATCTATCTATCTATGCCGTGAAGGAAGGTGAGTTTTACAGTCGACTTTGTGTTGAGACTGAGAAGTCGCGAATGAGTGACTGGGTCACCCCATTCTCAGACATTCTTCCCGTACAACACTCTAGACCCTGCTCCGTTCGCTCGATCCGGCATTGGGATGCTGTGAAGCACCATCCTTCGCTTGATACAAGTGACAAGTCATCGACATTTCCGCATTTTGGATATCTGGGATGAATCCCCGCGTCACTGAGTCTATCGCGGAACTCATCATGTCGCTGTTTGAGAAATTGAAGCTCCTCCAATTGCTGTGAAAGTTTGAGAGTGGAGTACGAATCATCCATGAGCTTTGAATGTTTCTTGATCAACTGTTGATGTGCTTTCCAAAACAACTGGAATTGATGGATGTTGCAGCGGCAATCCTCGCACTCGCAGCCCTCAACTTTGGGGATCTCCCGGCGATCCGCAATAACCTTGGATCTATCATCGCAGAGCTGCGGTCGCACGAGGATTTTGCTGGTGGGGACATTTGATGACAAGTCCGCCGCATATTCCTCATCGACTGATGTAATACAGAACTGCTCGTAGCAGAGATCACAGGTGCAATCCTTTGGTGTTTCATTCTTTCCGTGAGCACTCTGATCTAGAATGTCGTTATTGAGCTTGGCGTGGATGGGCCAATCGATCTGGAAATTGATGAATCTAGGCATCTTGTCGATTCCCTGGCTAACTTGTGAAGTTATTCTTCCTGAAAAAAATCGTGGTGGATTTGTTTTTGGAAGTTAGAATGTTGAGTTATGAAGATATAATAGCCCTGATATATAAATGTGATGCTTAATGAGGATGAGATGAGTTGCAATTGATATGGGAGGATCAACGTCTTCCTGATATACCTTCGTAAAAATACTTGTTCAAACTTTGTTCAATTGTCAATCAGACAAGTTTGAGCCGCATGTAAGAACGGAAACAGGATAAAAATGGCAGTGTCTCGAGCGACTTCACTGCCACATTGTCCCCAACGCGATGCTTGGCGAGAACAATAGGCATTGTTCAATATGATCGAGTTAGAAGCATCCTGTTCCTGATCTGTACCCAGAGTCAAACTAAAAATACCTTTATCCCGTACCTTTGTTCCCCCGAGTTAGGCAGTTCCATCTCTTTCAACTTAGTGCACATCGGATCGTTATCATCAATCAATTTAACCAACCCAAATTTTATGTAATCCTTCTCCAAAATAATATCTCCTGCATTTTTTCAAAATTCTTTTTCAGGATGCACACTTGAAACATAAGAGGTTGAGAAAGTACCAAGAATATAATGTTACCAATTGTTTTCCGTTTGGAAATCTGTCAAAATGGGCATTTCATATGTGCAACATCAACCTCAACAGGTGCGAGTGACCAGGTATCTTGACCTTTGGGTACTGAGTTGGAAATTAGAACTCTGAGTTTCAGATTCCGGAAACACACAAAAATTGAGGTGCGTGGAGCGAAAAAGCCTTGTTGAATGTTCTGCTATTGTTGTCATAGAGGCTTTTATCTTGTGATGATTTGATGCGCAACAGATCTCCATTGGCCACTTGTCTGTTGATATTGGAAAAAATTCTTGATCTACTCCTCCTGTGTTTGCTTATACAATGTGGCTCCGAATGAATTCTACATAACTTCTTGAATGTTAGTTTAGCTAAGCTACCCCCATTCTCTCGGACTCAGAACACTGTCAAGATACCCAAGGAACAAGCCTCAAACAACATTATTCTAAATCATTCCTTGCCCTATAAATACCATGTACTTCGTCCCCAACATTTTTAATTCTTTTTCTCCTCATTCACTCGAATCTTGACAAGATAAGACAAACACAAAACTTCATCGAATACAGATTCAGAATCCGATCCACATACTAGATCACGAGTTCAAGAAGTCACCACCAAGACCACAAAGATGAATTCCGAAAACAGATCCGGAGTCATCTATTTCGAAGTCGAAGAGCTTTCACTCACCGAAATGGAAGAAGAAATTTTGCGCATCGCTCTCCAAGGAGACCAAGATTTCGACGATCCACCCATCGTAGACCCAGCCCTCGTAGACCCAGCCCTCGAAGAGCCCGTCATCGACGACCCGCCAGTCGAAGTACCCCTTCTTCAACTCCGACCACAACCACCGCAACCACAACCACAATCATTCCGGTACTCAAACATCATCACGTTGATCCAGATCATCGAGTTGATTGCTTTGATCGTCATAGCTTTCTTCTTCCTCTCCGACTGCTTTTCTCCTAAACCCACACCCACCCGAACCGGACCACCACCTCCAACACCAGCTGGACGGTGAATCGAATCCTAATTCAGTCAATCCACGGGGATGACTAGGATAGGGATTGGAGGGGAAGAGGGTGGATGAAGTTCCGCGGCAGAGGAGACAGAAGGACATAACGCGCTCCTCACAACACGTTTTCTTTTGTAGGATAGACTGAAAAGACCTGGCGTTTATCAATCGAAAAAACATTTAAATCAGAAAAAAAGTTTGAATAAAAATTTATAACCCGAAAACCAACCAGTGCTAAATTAATGCTAATGTGACTTTGATAATGTGCAAAAAAGTAACTTTGAATAATTGAATGAAGAAGTACACAAGAGTAACTGATGTAAAGTTGCCGGGAACTGGAAGATTTAATCCAAGAGTCAAGAAAATAAGATCTTTGATCGTTCTCCGTGGGGTCATGATTTCTCCTATATGCACTGGTATGTGCACTCAGAATGACTGAGCCACTTGGGTCAGTCAAGTAGATGAATGACCTCCAGTCTTTTCCTTGCGACACCCATGGCTCATCCAATGGGGAAAAGAAAATTATGCAGGTTTCCGACGAGCGGCAATGCAGTTATCCGCATGAATTGTTTATCGACGGGGATCTCGAACCCTCAAGTACTGTTCTTCCCCTTTCGCTTTCAGCTTGCTGAACACTGATTCCCTTTTTGCTCATCTATCACTAAACTCTTGCTCACAATATGTCCACCGCATCAAACAGCCAATTATTAGCCACTACAAAACGTGATTTTCATGAACTCGCCCAGCAACTTTTTCTGACGACTCAAGAGCTTATAAGACCACAGAATTATAGGAGCGATACCTTCCCGCAGTCGAAAAATTATGTACTTCTCCATGAGAAAGAGCAACATCTAGCAGATCACATAGCAGTCCTCGCCCAAGCCAAGGAGGGCGCAGCTGGTGTGTCAGCAGCTATGATCGAAGAGTGCAACGGCCGAAATTCACCATCGCTAATTATTCGAATTGCATCAAACGAAACGCCTTTACCAGGAACTGTGGATGGATTACGTAGGTGCTTAGATATAGTGGAGGAAGCCGCTCGTGCAGGTGCGACGGGATCAATCCCTCACAGAACAAGAATAAAAAGTCGAATGACTGATTCATACGTATGATTTAGAAACGGATGAGCACAGAGATGTTCACAAGTCAAATCTCATGCAAATTATCAAGCTGAGCAAAGGTCATCTGCGACGCGACATCGGCCCACCAAAGAATCGAGGTGGAAAAGTCAGACTTTTGCTTTCTGACAGGCTTAAATCATTGCGATGTAGACTTCTGGTACTAGAGAACAATGTTGGAAATACCCATCTGCGAAGTTCTCTTTGTGTCAATCTTCCAGAATTATGCCAGAAAATCGAAAGCTTTACTCTTTCTTCCGAAGAAAGTCAATTGAACCATTTAACCGCAATAGTCCTGGCTGCTCACAAAGTGTCGACAACCGCCAATAATCCATCACTTGAACATCAGCTCCAGATGAAAGGTATTGACCTTGATCTCAGCCACTGCCGCACCGTCTTCCAAATCGACGAGATAAGCAAATACCTAGACATTAGTAACGACTTGATAGACCTTTCTCGGAAAATCAGGTGTAATGGTTTATTTTGCAACATCCGCTTGGAAGTGTGCACTGCACCCAAGGCTCAGTATCATAATGATCAAATATTACATGTCATAGTGAAATACAACTCATTTCTTTCTATGAGCAATTCCCGGCGGGTTTGCCTCCAAGGTGCATAGGATCTAGTAAGTCGGCTTGCTTTCTATGCGACTTGTTCATCAAGAAACATGGATTATACCGTATTTCGCGTTCGCACGGCAGACTGTATCCAAAATGGACGATACCAGAAGGAGATTGGGCTAATGAAGAGTTAAACCTGAGGTTTAGTGAGATTTTGAAGGACGTGAGCCTGGAAATGCTGCAGATTAAAAAGAATTTCGTGAGACGACCCGGGTATGAATGGAATGGTGCAGAGAGCAGGGTGCATCTATTGATACTTCCGTCGAACTTCAATGCGATTTCAAACCCTATAACAGAAACGAGAGCTTCTTTGAGGTCAAAAATTTCATTGAAAGTTGCCGTTGTTCATAAGTCTCAGTCTGAGCTTTCCGAAGCCTCGAAAGCCACAATAAACACCACGTGCTAAGCTTGTGATCTCCCGCCAAACACGACTGCCAGTTCGGCTGTCGTAACAGGAGCTTTGAACGGGCTTATTAGTACTGTTCTCGAATCAGGGCTTATCTCAGGTTCCGACTCGGCGCCTTCCATTAGCTCAAGACCACCACACCCAAGTTCCTTATACGATTGCCGCCCACAGGACCTCCCCAGTACAATTCTTATCTTCCCCGATAACCCCCTAGACACAATTATCCTCTCCATCGGTAAAGTAGAATACATACTTGATATTCGCGACGTGGAGTTTGGATATCTCAATATCAGACCAACGAAGCAAATTGATGTACTGACAGGAAGGGAGCAATCGCAAAGTAAAGCGTTGGCTGAAGGAAATCATGAAGGACTCCGACTTATAGATGTCAGAGGTTCTGAACTTGATGGCGAGCTTGTGCTCACCGGCAGAAATTCGGTTTCAAGAGAAGTGGAGTTTTTTGTGAATGATGGGGGAGAGTGTTGCATTTGTGTCAAGATTGTATGGGGTGTAAAGGAGGGGTAATGGAGGAGAGAAGTGATGTGAATCCTAATTTAATGATCATGGTCATCAAAGTGCTTGAGATTAGGCTGTTTGGTGATAAGCAAAACGCAAAATCTCATTCTCATTAGCTGCAACTTACAGCCAGCACACCCTGTTCACCGTGGCATTACGGATAACAAATCTTCGAGAAATATTATTATTCATTCATGATATTACATTTGATATTTGTCTCGTCCTACTAGTATGCGCTATCCTCGTATACGAGACTTGACGCGCCTATCACACAATCGTATATCCATATCTTATTGTGTGCATTCGCATTTTCTTGCATTGCCGTTCCCAAAAAAGATCCCATCCATCCGTGCAGCCGCCCATCCCAAATTTCCTAGCAGGCAAGAGGAAAGACGGGAGACATAATAGACATCCATCCAGTAAAATCCCGATCTTCCTTTCCATTCCCATTCCCAACCTCATGTCTTCAATAAATATCATATCAAGATAGAGGATCTCCCTTGAATCATATCCCCTTTGAATAATGCAAAAATCCTATCATGCCACTTCTCCGGACCAGCCAGACCAAACATCTTCAGCGTCTCGCTCCAAATGATTTGCTCGTCGCACCGAAGAAGGCACCCGTAAATGAACCAACGAAACAAAGACGAAGAGCGCAAGAAACACCACACTACCACCCACTAAAACAAGATACATCAGGAAAAATTAAACAAAGAGAAAAGGTATAAAGCTTCCGCCTGCACAATATCGGAAAATTGTCATATACGCCATCAAAACCATGCCACCAGGTATATCAAGATCAAAAAACACAACTCCGATGATTCACCATCCAACACTATCGGTGATTTGAACGACCTAAGAATAATCATACAGCCTGCGACCGACCTAGCAGCCAAAAGCAGGTATTTTCCACAGGAGGAAATGTATCCTGTATTATGAGGATGCGGGGTGGTTGCGCTTTACCATCCTTTCTTTCTAGCGAAACGTTTGTTCAAGAGAGCAAGAACCTTTGGTACGTTGAACTGAACATACTCCAGGTCAAGATCTTCTTGATTATCCTTTTGCATCTCGAGTAAGTCATCGAGTTTCAGATCAAGCTCTAGTAGGCCGCGATTCCGTCCTAGTGAAGTCAGCATGTATTCATATAGGTAGAAGATGACCCGATAGTCCATACCTTTGTAATGTAACGAGATAACAAAGGTTCCGGGCAAAGGACTGGTAAAGTTGAAGTAGATATTGGCTCTTCTGTTGTCGGGTACGTTGCTCTTCTGGATAACTCCTTGTTTCTCCAATTCGCCATGAGTGAACTTATACGGACCCAAGACTTGATGCTTTTGTTGTTTCCGCTTGGTACCTTCACTTTGACTTCGAACATTGTGCAGATAACTTTTGTAAGTTTCGAGTTGACCGACTAGATAAGTGTTGTGATCTCGAATGGTCTTGAAAACTTGATCGAGTTTTTGAGTTTCGAGAATAACTCCATCTTTAAGTGATCCAAGATGTTGGAGTTCTTGTTCAACTTCATCCCGCAAAAGGCTGAATTGATCTGACTTATCAATGACCCCCAATTCCTGCAACTGGCTCAATAATTCCATTGCCCGAATACCTTTTCGCACCATGACAGCATCATTTCGGTATTGACCTGCCGCATCAGCAACTCTTTCAAGACGAAGTGGTCTACGCGCCACAGCGCTGTTGCTCGGAATTGATCTCATAATTTGAACGAATGTCGACTTGGCTTCCATGAAGAACACTTCCTCTTGCGTAATGTCGAGTGCAGCAGTCAAATCATCAATCGCGGTTTCCCATTTGCTAAACAGGGGCAAGTTGATAGCCCTGTTGTCTTTCCTGGGTAGTTGTGCAGGGGCCGGTCCTAAATCGGCCAGGATTACTGCCAAATGTGAGTTCTCATCTTTATTGAGTTCGGCCGTGTGTTTATCGAGCAAGGCATGAGTAGCATAAACTTCATTGAGGGTAATTGATAGCTCCAAATCCTTCTTAGATAATGCTACATAGTTGTCCATTTCCAAACTTTCATAAAAATCCTGAACTTCACAAAGATCAAGCATAAACTTGTTGACTCGTTCTTTGTTATGTTGAATGAATGGTTGAAGTTTGGCCATATATGGCTCCTTTGCATATGAGGGTTTGTTGGCGAGGTTTTGAAGCATCTTAGCAATCAAGGTCAAAGTTCGTCTAGGTCGATCGGCTGGAGTTCCATCAATGAGCATATATGATTTAGGGGTGACAATAGCAGGGTTGATGAATCGCAAGAAAAAGAACCCTCCGATAAGTGTACAAATCACTTGATCGTTGGCATCAGGATATTTTCTCTTTGTGAGGCTTCGAATTTGTTTGCAGATCCATCGAATTCCATATGGTGTTTCCTCTAGCCCGTCGATAATAGTTGTAAGGAATCCATTTGCAATCTCCATAAGCATTGTTAGTCTTGGTTCGATAATAGCCTGGACCTGTGTGTTATCTGCCGCTTGCTCTGCTGTTACTCCTCTGGGTAGGGAAGCCGGAAGTCCTCCTGTCTCCAGCTCAATCTGTGCAATCATTGTTTCATAGACCTTCAGGGGATTGATCTCCAAGTCGAGATCCTTCAACTCGATAAGTCCATTGATTCTGTCTGCCAATACAGTCTTCAAATAACTCTGCCCGGGACCTCTTCTAGTATATGTTGTCATCATGCGAGAGACTGGCGTATTCGCACGGAGGAGAGAGGAATATTCTGGCGTGTTATCAAATTGGTATGTTAAGACAGACTGCAAAACAAGGGTCAGTACTGGAAGCCACTCAATTCACTTGGGGTGTGGCCTACCTGAAACATAGTCAAGAGCAGATGTTCTTCACGGCTCTCATATTGATTTCCGTAGATGGTGAACATGACTGTTTGCAGCAAAGAATCGATCTCTGCCATAGTGACAAGGCGGCACAAATGTGCAATGTGCCTTGGCTCTGATTGAAGCAAAAATAAAAGGTTGCCATATTTTTGTGTCTTCTCGTCATTTGGGAAGAATCCTTCTTGCAAGTCGGTCGCATCTTCCAAGTGACTAGCTACCTCATTTTGCTGACAGAGATATTAGTTGTGAAACTCGGCTTGGGAAGTTTAAGTTCCTACCTCTTCCAAAGCCATGCGATTCTGAATCAATAAAGCAATTCTCGAATCCAGATACCTAACATCTTTCTCCAACACGAAATTCTTCTTCGATTGTGATGAAATCTTCGACTTGAGCTCTCGTAGAACCTTTTGTGCTACATCAATGCATTAGTACAACATTCAGGCCAATACCAATTGGACCAGAATTCTTACCTTTGGCAAGATCATCCTCAATTTCCAAATCCTTCTCATTCGCAGACATGGAGAGATAGAGAGTAGTCATAGAATATCTCTTTGATTGACGGGCAGAGCGAGCCCCATCGTGTGAAGACATGGTATTTTGTCGAGAAACTGGTTGGAAAGAAGAAGATGAGGCTGTTGATGCCCGAGAAGGGGTTTGAAGCATTACACTCATATCGTTTGGTGACCGAACAAGTCGGATTTTCTATAAATTAAATTGAAGTGCCAATATCTTTTGTAACACTGTCAATGGAGTCTTTGATACACCGTGGTGTGTTGCGCAAAAAAGAACAAAGAGAATTGTCGATCTCTGTTCTTTGGTTGGCCGAGAAGGGTAGATAGATGGACAGAAAGATTGGTGGAGGATTCGAAATTATTGTAAGATGCCTGGAGCAGGTGGTGATATGTAAGTATGTATGCTGTGCGCTGTGTATGTATGTACTTTTAAAAGTATTCGAAAGATCAGACAATAGTTGGAATAATTGAGCAAAGTTCTGTTGGAAGGAAAGAAAGATATTATCGTAAGGTTGAATAAAAATCGAAAATGAGAGTGAATTGGATGCGATGGTATAGTTTGGAGGGAGCACACAGGCTTTGTTGAATTTTTGGAATTGAGAAGGAGGGCTTGTAGATCGACCAGCGAGCCGCTCGGGTCTTCACCCCAAATTACTTGACGAAAATCTTTTTTTTTTCTCTCTTTAAAATAGAAAAAAAGAATCCTTCAATTGCGATATAACATGAATGATTCAAATGGGGATATCTTGTTGCAATATTCGCATGCGGCGCCGATGACTGAATAATATGTTGATGGGTTGCGTTGTCGCAAAAAAAAAAAGAAAAAGTTCCGCATGCAAGAGGATGACGATGAAATGATATCTGGTAACGTCTGTCAAAAGTGTGTAGTGATTGATTGCGATACGATGGATGGGTTTGTGGTGCGTTGCGTTTCGTTGCGTTTCGTTGCGTCGCGTACAATAAATAAATGAAGGGGCGAGGTTTATATTCGGTATAGTAAAGTATGGTGTGATATAGTATATTGATTGAAACAATATCGGGGAATTGATTCAAGATTTGTATCTCTATACGAAGAAGAGATAATGTTGCAAAATGGGCGAAAATGTCGTCGGAGAATAATCAGGTAAGTGAGGTGAAGGAGGTGGGTTGAAGTGGGTGAAGTGGGTGAAGTGGGTGAAGCGGGTGAGTTGAGTGTGTATTACTTTGATGAACGATGGAAAAATGAATGAGTAATGAGTAGGTAGGTAATGATGTATGATTGATCAATTGGGATGTTTTAAGATGTAAAGTTTAAAGTTAAGTTAAGTTATGGATGGATGAATGGATGGAATGGATGTATGGATGTATGGATGTATGTAGGTGAGATGATGAAGTGGGACGGACGTTCGTTTGCTTTGGCGGGATGGGGAACGGATGGATGGGATAGAGTTAGAGAACAGACGAGGGAGGGGGTGAGGGGGTTTTTCTGCAGAAAGCAAATAGAAACAGTACTAGGTTGATTGATAATGAATGTATGATGCTGGGCAAACGAACCGTCGTACCGGTGTGGGAGGATGAGTTGAGTGTGAGAGAGAGTGTGAGAGAGTGTGAGAGTGTGTGAGTGAGTGTGAGTGAGTGTGAGTGAGTGATTGAGTTGAGTGAATGAGTGAATGTACTCTGTCTACTAAAGTCACCCTTTTTCCAAGAATGATCAATTCTTTTCTTCGATTGATATGAATATTGATATTGATATTGATATTGATATTGATTTTGATATTGATATTGATGAATCAAAATGTCATCTTCACCGGGTAGAGAATCAGAGACTTTTGAAGACTTTTGAAGACCTTAGGAGACCTCAGACCGTGGACCTTGGACCTTGGACCTTGAACCTATGAGTATCTACGATACCTTAGTAGCTAGGAGGGAATAATAAGAGTAAGAGGGATTTCGTCGATATGAAACATCTAAAACTTGTCAGGGGTCCATTTTCGGTGGAGGCACACCAATCAATTCAGGTACGTACGCTGCTGTTGAATTTACCCAAGCCGACTAATAACTTACAATGAGGAGACTAATAATAATAATAATAATAATAGGTACGATAGAGTATCGACTAGAGAATCCATTTAACTCAGATTGTAAACTGTGAACTGGAAAACTCCGTGATTCCGTGATTTAGTATCTACCTAGTCCTAGTACCTAGGTAGGTACTCGTAGTATCTAGTGTATCTATCAAGAGGAGAGAAGAATGTCGAAAAGTACCTACTAGGTACTATTTACCTCGAGCCTACCATACCATACCTAGAAGAATCTACCAGTAGTACCAAGCAGACAGTAGTAAAGCTCATCAATGATGCTTCATCTAAATCGACGATATGTTACTTGGAATCATCATCAGGCTAGTCGTAATCATTTGTAATTGTAACTACCGCTACCTACTTTCACCTCAATCTTGTAATGTAATGTAAATGTAACTAATATATCCTCCACATAACATCAACCAATCCTATCTATCAATTTAATCACGAGCGATCAACTCCCTTATCTTCAAAGCATCTCATTCTGTCTATCATCTCCAACTCATCCACAATGTGATATCAACACTTCATCATCCCCGCCCACAATCCTCCTTTTCCCTTCACCACCACTTACCTCGTCTTCCCATACAATGTCTCTCACCCGCATGAATTACAATGGCTACATCCATTCAATACCGGTCTTGTATTCTCCGACTATCTTACTTACTCTAGAACCTCAAGGAAATGAATCCAACCTTGATCCATCCGTCCAGCCTGAGGATTCTTTCAAGATTAGCATCCAGGACGATACGACACGCGCACGTGGAATTTTATCGCCTTATCACCCATTTAGGTCATTCTTCGATGGCGCAGCAGTGGAGCATAATTGTAGGAGCTAAAAATGGCCAAGTTTGGCTTTGATTCCCTACCGCCAACCCACGTTTCCTGAGACTCAGGTACCTCAAAATAGTATTTGGGAAGAAGTGGTTGCAGCATATCTGTTATGCCGGGTCCCTTTGATGCTGGGAATATTGTACCTAGGCATGTTGGGTTGCATTGGTGTTGGAATTGGGTGTACCGGGTTGTAATCAGCGATGCTGTGTTTACACAACGTCTTTACCTAAGTGGTGTTCTCCTTATGGCTCAAGATTTGGAATCGATGCTCTGTCGCAATAAATCATGGGGAAGGATCAATGACCTCGATAGGATAAGTAGATGGAATCGGAAATTTATTTACTTTATTTCTATGGTTCTTACTATAAACTTAGCTTAGTCTAATCAATTAGAGGAAAACTAATTAAGCGGTGAGATTTTCAAACTTCCTCCCTCACTTCTTTCTTACTGCATACGAATCTGATTCCAACAACTGATCCATCCCATGATGATATTCAATATCAAGTTTCTCTTCAATTAATATCTAACTATAGCTGTAAGTTCTGTTCCTGAATCCTCATCGGTGCTAACCCTAAAAGCATTTTGTGGAACTCGTGCTTCTTCGTGAATCTTTGTACCTGACTAAAAATCCCTGGCCGCGAAGCGATAGGAACTCTAGTATGAACCGATCAAATGGCGATCTTCCAATGTGGCACCGCAGTTGTTCTCCGCAGTACCCGCTTCTAACTTCTAACCCAAGGGGGTAAAACAGATATTGTTCTGTTTCCCTCGGTTCCAACTCTTTGAGTTCTCACCCGTGGAAGGGCGTGGCAGACTTCTGCAACATCATCAATGTGTTCTTATTCTTTGGAACGCCTTCAACTCCACTTACTTTCAGGCCCAGCTTGCTTCCCACTATTTGGGTCCTTTCGAGTACCTGGCATTTGTGCATCAGGAATTACTCCCCCAATACGTTCATGCTCCAAAGGAGCAACAGCACCTATTTTATCAGTCGGCCGAACCACTCGACCTCAAGTGGTTCACAAAATCCGTACACTAAGCTCTTTTTGATATGTCAAACCATTCTAAAGCATTTACGGAGGAAAAGATATCAACGCCATCCCCATTCGATTCCCTTTGTGGACATTTCAGGGGTATTTGGGTAGTTTTACTTGCTTGACTGAGATTAAAGATAGGCCGTGCGCAACATTTTGTTGATCATGTGTTCAGAAAACCACCCAGGATTCAAGAAGTATCTCGTTGGTGATCACAGATGAGTTATATGATCGAGGGTGTTTTCTTGTTCTGCCCTACGACACGTGCTGTCTTGACTCTCAAAAGGATTGTTACTGGTCTATGTACGTACAGTATCTCCGATCTTAAATAATTCTTTTGCTGTATCTTAGGAACTTTATAGACTCGCATCAATCAGCAAGTTGACTGCCTCATGAGTCCACTGCAAACAGTAGGTGTGTAGTCTTCCACACTTCCTTATCTTCCCCTTCATCCTCAATAACCGAACCGAATCCTGCCAGTATTATGACTATAGATCAGCACTCATGATATCATCGTCCTCCTTCCCTCGAAAAGCCTTCGTTGACTTCTCTTTTGTAGATCATCTCTAATCAAATCATGGATGTCACTGACCAGCGAGCCAACTAATATACGATTTGTCTAAAATGTCTCGGACGATTGAACGTTTTGGTGTTGTTTAACTTTTCATTGACAAGACGACAAGCTTACAGGGTAACGTTTTCGATATTGACAGGCCACTTCTATCTCGTTCCGAAGTTCAACCTCGAGGTTCGGCTCGACATTGTGATTATGTACTACTCTGTGGGCATGCAAGGGCATACATCTATGGAGTATATACCTCGCATGTTCACGGCAGTATGGTTCCATATATCCACAATTTCTAATAGCCGCTTCCAATCTCGCAAGACGCGCGATAAAGTGAAAAATGGCATTATGGGAGATTCGGTGTTCATATGGTGGTTATCGTTGTGCCTCCACTGAATCCACTTCTCATAAATCCCTGGTTTGTGGACTCCATTTTTACTTGCATCTGCGTTTGCATTTGGATCCGCATTTGCATCTGCATCTGCATTACACTCACATCTCCTCCTTTCATATCAAGTTATCAGCATATATGTAACCTTAAGGCGCGGACCACTTCCGTTGAACATAGTCCACATTAACTGCGAGACACGGGGATCATCGATACAAAGTTTGGACTTTAAAGCTTCTCCTATTCAAGCTTCCAGCATATAACTAGAATGTATGTGTCTGGCAGATAGGTAAACGATGACACACTGATACTTAAGATTTTTGCAATCAAAATTTCAATGTTCCTTATGTCACGTCATCATAGCCAGTAACGCGAAGGCGGCTAGCCCTCACTTCTGGAGTTCAGTCATAGGGGTTACAGTAATGCTGTTCTCAAAGATCTCCATCGAAGTATCTAGAATCCGCGATTAGCAAATCTCAGATCAGGCTGAAATGAATTGACCAGCTCTGACCTAATGGGACCTTGTCAGTCTTCTATTCACCCTATAAGTACTCGGACCGCGGCCTGTCCCACGATGATTCTACAGTATATATCATGGCTCTTTTCTTTCTCAACAAACCCAAGGCACACAATCCACATGTTCCAACATTTTCATCCGCTTGTACATACCGATCCCACTTCCAGAACATCTCACCCCTTTCTTCCGACCCGAAAACTTGCACAACACACATAGGACTAGTAAGTACTATTAAATCCCATGTATACAACATTTTGGGAAGTTCCGATTGTCATCTTGTATTTGCCTATATATCTTCCTTGCGTGCCACAAGTCATGCAGCGCCCCTGTAGTGTTTCATATATATACCGGCTGGGAGGTCACTGTACCCCGGATTGTCATTGTGCAACCTCTTGGAGGCGATTTGGCGGTTTGTACAATTGGTTTGGTGGTGAAATAGGGTCTATGGCGTATCGATAAGTCGAAGCGGAACGGGATGGATTCTGAGCAATTGAACCGAATTGGATTGAGGGAATACACTGGAAATAAGGGAGACAAGGAAGGCAATCTATATTGAGTAATAAGAAGAGTTAGAATACTTACTTGTATGACATGGGGAAGCCCAAAAGGTAGTAAGCTTAAGCCAAGAGATAAGTAGTCGAAAGCTTCAGAATCTTCAACAGGGTTAGATAGTTTGAGACCTTCCAGCCATGAACCTTCAGTCAGACTGTCAAACCTCCTCCGAGGACTCTTGGGTCGTTCGGTCAAGGTACCGGAGAGTCAAGAGTTTCGAATGCAATAGGTAAAGATTGACGAAAGACAAGCGCAAAACATTTTCCCATAACGCTCAATCAAATTTAGATGCTCAACCCGGATTTCGACACTTCTCCAATAATTCTCTTACTTCCTTTGTTTCCCAGATGAAGACTTGTGCTCCCTTACTTCCTTCAATGGTAAGTGCTCCATTCCCCTTCTCAAATGGTGCCTGTCTACTATGAATCCCCTCTCATCGTTTTTGTCCACCAGCTTTACTTCATAGCCTAAGAGCTAGAGGCATGTATACGTTCGCTCTCTTCCCCACGCATGATGTTTGTCTTGGATCTACCACATGGTTCTTATACATCAACTTTCTACATCTCCCCCCTCGCTTGCAAAATTCTGACTAATGATAAATATGTTGTAACTAGAAAATGCCACAAAACCCATCGTTATAGAGTTACGCCAACATAGAGATGAAAACTTTAAGTAACTGTCAGTCTACAAGATATGAAGATATGGAATTTTACCTTTTCCAACAAATCCAAAGGGGTCTACAGTCATATTTGTCACACAATATTAGTCTGTTGCATCAGAGAGAACAATATTCTTGGAGGCAATTTAAGATACATTTGAGTGAGTTGACAATTATCATTCATATATAAAAAGACCACCGAATTCCGAATACCCCACTGATGTGATATGAATACACAATGCTCTTCCTTCACAAGGCATATGGAATTTCGTCGTGCGGAATGTATGAGACTAAGTCATAGTAACAGCGGTAGCAAGTAAGAAAACTGCTTCTGATATTCTGGTATAGGCGTAAAATTCAATCAACCTCAATTCTTTTTCCTGTTTGGAAAAAAGGAAAAAAGAAAACCTGATACTCAATATCAGTATTAATCTTTTGGTCAAGTCTACATTTGCATTGTGAGAAGATTGTCAAATATTGTGGTTTGTAGAGTCGTCGCAAAATGTCTGAAAGGGTCACCATACTTTAGATTAATGATCTAGACAAGCTTCCGAGGAAGCGTCGATATCGATACTAGAACCGAACAAACCCTCATACAATATCAACGTCCATTCATCTTCCAAATCGAAATGGTCAAATTGTGCCAGTACTCATACTGGCTCTTTGCATCAATTACAGTATGCTCAAGAAGTTGGGAATTTTGATTTCATCATGCAGTAATTTGCAATGCTATTATGCATTTCCCTACACATCAACGACGTCACTATCTCGTTCCCTCTTCACATCCCAAAACCATCGACCACAACATCGTTCACAACGACGAAAATATGCCATCGTCTCCGACGGACGAAGCGCAAATCAACACGGAGGATTACAATGGCCCGAACTGACATCCGCATTTGCGGTTCCAACACCCTACCAAATCTTCAACCAAAAGAAAGGATCTCCCTATTCTAAACGACGCTTTTACGAATTGGTGAAACTTTATCATCCAGATAAACATGGCATCGATACGAATGATGGATTGGACTATGATACGAAACTCTCGCGATACAGATTGATTATTGCAGCCAACGATATTCTTTCAGACCCTATAAAACGGAGTGCATACGATACATATGGAGCAGGTTGGAATGGACGGCCCGAAGTCCTCGATCCTCGCGATAAACATGGTGAGAATCATGGATGGGCAGGTCCCGGTGGACCCAGTCAAAATGCTACATGGGAAGATTGGGAGAAATGGTACAGCCGTGATGGCAAAGGAGAACAGAAACCCCAATTCGTATCAAATGGTGCATTTGTCTTGTTAATCGCAATTTTTGTGGCGGTAGGTGGATTGGGACAACTGACGAGGTTGGATAATTATTCGGCAAAATTCTTGGAACAGAGAGATACTTTGCATGATAAGATGAGTAAGGATTTGAGGCAGAGAAGGAAAGAGACGAGATATACTTTTGGGAGTAGGGAGGAACGAATACATAGTTTCTTGAGACAGAGGCAAGATCCAAAGGAAGAAACTTATAGGAAGTTGTTGCCGAATCCAGAGGTTTGCTCTAGCGAGGATATTAAAGGGAGATCGATGGTGGTTTATCAGCCGCCTAAGAATATAACAAAGGAGCGATGAGGTATATACGTATGATCACGACAGGAAAGGAGAAATGGATAGATACATCAGCTTCAGCCACGATGCTCATCTGTGGCGCCACGAAGGCCAAGATACCGTGGATAGGAAATGTGGACTTATACGAGGCTGCGAGACATATTTTTCAATACATGCTAAGCTTTTCAGTTCTTATGTGAGCGGAGTAGGAGCATTGGGGGGTGGTATTTACTTACGGGTATGCCGGGCAAATACAGCTTTGTAGACCTGATTATCACTCGCAGCAAGACTAAGATGGTTGGGCCAGAAACTACAAATACAAAGAATCAATCAATGACTGAAACAAAATAAATTATTCTGAGAAACCCCGTGCATGCACAAGCACATCACATTCGCAATTGCTCTGAACCATTGGAGTAATAAAGTAAAACACAGAATTATTGCCCAGAAATCCTAAACATGCGCATCAACGTGTACAAAGTTGCCCCTCATAACCCTTGTATTCTTTTCGTCATAGCTTCACTCAGCCCTGCGGGGATTGGATATGGATACTTGCGGTACTGGACATCTGTCACCAACCAAATACATTCGACAAAATCACAGCCACTTTCTATCAGCTGCTGACTCCAAGACCATTTGACGTACTCCACATCCAAAATAACTCATATTAAAAGCATCTATCATCTCGTTAAGAAGAAATAGAAGAAGACAGTCAAAGTGGCGCACGTTAAAAAGATTATACTATTCTCACTCCCTTTATTTGCATTCTTTGTCGCTCTACTAATCACGCTGCGAAACGGACCTGGAACGTGGGAAATAGCTGGACTTGATCTAGGATCGGGCGAGCAGAGTAAAGGCGACCTAGAAACTATCGGCGAAGAGGAAATAGAACTAGGTTTAGGAGACAATATGGGTGGTGGGAAAGGATATCGCGCCGTGGCGTATTTTGTAAATGTATGTGGCTTGTTTCATTCTTCTTTTGTATTATCTGGGCGCGGGGGGTAATTGAGGTTCTGAGTGGGTGAGAGATTCGACGCTTCAAAGATATGGGATGAAAATTGGATTTCCTTTCCGAGGATCAATCCGGACAATAGAAATGGGAAAGAAAATGAACTTTCGGTTTCTCTCTGTCTTCAGACGTGGCGGGACGACGGTGCGATGCTGTACAAGTGTGCACGATGATCTCGTAATTTTAACGGAGAAAGAGAGATGGCAACATTATAACGATGATATGGCAAGACATAGACTGACATCACGCAGTGGGCAATCTACGGCCGCAAACATTTTCCCCAAGATCTCCCTGCCGAGAAATTGACCCATATTCTCTACGCATTCGCCAATGTCCGTCCAGATTCTGGCGAGGTATATATGACTGACGGCTGGGCCGACACTGATATTCATTTCGAAGGCGATTCATGGAATGACGTTGGTACTAATTTGTACGGTTGCTTGAAGCAACTCAATATCCTCAAATCACGAAATCGATCTTTGAAGATATTGCTTAGTATTGGTGGCTGGACCTATTCCTCCAATTTCGCCCAACCAGCGTCAACGGAGAGTGGAAGAAGAAAGTTTGCAGAGAGTGCAGTGGATTTGATAAGGAATTTGGGATTCGATGGAATTGACATCGATTGGGAATATCCCAAAAACGCCGAAGAAGCCCGAGATTACGTTCTTTTGTTGAGAGAATGTAGGGAAGCCATGGACCGTTATTCTAACACTCTCCCTACACCCCACCACTTTGAACTTACGGTAGCATGTCCAGCTGGTCCTCAAAATTACAATAACATGGATATTCACGGCATGAACCAATATATCGACTTCTGGAACTTAATGGCATACGACTATGCGGGATCGTGGGACAGTGTTGCAGGACACCAAGCAAATGTGCATGCTAGCCAATATAACCCAAATTCCACGCCGTATAATACAGAAAATGCAGTCAGGGCATACGAGGCAAGAGGAGTACATAGCCATAAAATTGTACTTGGAATGCCGATTTATGGGAGGGCCTTCCAGGGGACTGAGGGATTGGGACAGCCGTTTAATGGGGTGGGAGAGGGTACTTGGGAAAATGGCGTACATGATTTCAAAAAGTTACCACAGGAAGGTGCGAGGGAATTCGTGGATGAGGAAACTTGTGCAAGTTATTGTGAGTTGGCCATTTTCTACCCCTGCATTTTTCAATATTTGATGCATTTTCTTGATTTTGAAAGAAGAATAAATGTAAAATAGCACTACGGGTGGATATTTTGATGCGACGAGATAGGAAGGAAACGCTAACAGACCATAAAGCGTACAACGAAAATACAAAAACCCTCATATCGTACGACACAGTCGAGATCGCCCGCAGAAAGGCTCACTACATCAAGCAAAGAGGTCTTGGTGGTGCTATGGTATGTTTTTCCCCATATTCGCTTGCATCATGTCACTAACCCAAATGAAACAGTGGTGGGAATCTTCGGCCGATCATCCAGAGCCAGAAAGGTCTCTAATTTACAACGTGGTCAACGTTTTGGGCACTTTGGAGCAAAGCAAGAATTGTATTCAGTATCCAGGGAGTAAGTATGAGAATTTGAGGAACGGGCTTTAGCATAGGTAGCCTAGAATAGTTCAAGAAATATGATCTAATGGAGATGGGAAGAAATCCGGAAAATAAATGATCGAACGTTGGAGACGGGTTATTTAAGAACGTTTGTTTACTATAGGAGCGGTTTTGCATATTGGACTTTTATGGCACTAAAGAAGTTATGGTGAATGAGGAGTAATGCATTTCTTGCGTACATATAATTCTTTCTCGACATTTGAATTCTGATGATATAAGGTCCTGAGGGGTTCTGCATCTGACAACAAGCTACTCCCACCCAGATGGGTCTCCACCTAGGCCGCCTGCAAGTAAACTGCTAGTTATCAGCATCACTCTTGGTCGCAGTCTCAAAAGTAAGGCTGCAAAAGCCAGCGGTCATCCCTCCCTCACTCACAGTATTTCGTCCTCGACACTACAGATTTTAACCACACCCTTTCAAACTCCAAGGACCGACTTCAGCTAAACATCGACTCAAGCAATTCGTCAAAATCATCACGTCAATCAGATACAACTCTTTACTACTCGAATTCGTGGCTTTTGTCAATTCGGTCTTATGATTCAATGTTGGGAATGACCACCGATCTGGACGCGATAATCCGGCGGACCGATGGCCATATGGAATCGGGGCGCTTACCCTTCTCTCAATCTTTTGGCTCACGCCATTCACATGTGACCAGAACAACAATGAAGCGGGTGCTATATAGACCTCAAATCCTGCCCCTACATCTCAACCTTTCCCTTTCAGATAACAGAACCTGTACCACAACCATGCTTGAAAGATCTTGTCAAGCGGGATAGAAAACTTTCCAGCTGTTCCATAGAGAGTCAAGATGTGTGCCCGGAACATCATTAAATGAATCCATTCTATCTGAAAGGTTCTTGAGTCATCGATAAAGAGCCTAGAGAATGCTTTTCACACACCTTTCTCATCCATGCAAGGTTCGCGCCCTTGTCGTTAATTCGTAGATCATGAGTTGGCAAAGAACTACCAAATTCCCTACGACACCATAAACCACTTGGTTAAGCCCACAAAAGAAGGAGTTGCCCACAACACCTGAAGCTCCTTCACGCAGACAGATTTCATTGTCGGAAGCTTGAATCTATTGAATGTGGTTCAGAGCTGGTCGGTGTTTGGTGGGACGGAAAAAGGTAGCCGCGATGCTGAGTCATCATAAACTTCACGTTAAACACGCGTATTTTCAAACCCTCTTTTCGACTGAATTAGAAAATGAAATGATAGAGAACCTTGACGGGATGATACGAATTATCCGAATCTTCAGAAGACGGTTGGAGGCGAGGTAAGGTAAAGCAAAGCAAGTCTGATTTCCTAAGGCATCAATTTCAATTGAATTGCCATAATAATCGACATCTCACTGCCGCCTCTTCCGTTTTCTCAATATCAAGTTTCAACCCGTCCCGTTCTCTTCTACTTCGACACTTTTTTAATACTGTACGCTAGACTCTTGGACTCCAAATACTCGCAGTGGATCCCCCTGGAACTCAAAAGTTCTGGAATTTTAATTTGTCTCATTTCCACTTTTTGTATTGGCGGTCTGAGTTCATTAAATTCCTTTTCCACTACGCTACAGACTCATTGGTCGGGGCTCTATCTTCTGCAGATTTCCTCCTGCAATAAGGATCTCAGTCGCCATTCTATCCGAAGAAAGACTTTTGTCGGTCAAATCTTCCTCTCAGTATCACACCTGGCAATCTCATCGGCTCGAGAAATAGTTTGAACACCTAATTAGCAACTGATCATTCAGTCTATTATGCTCCAGTCGCAAGCCATATCCAGATCTATTCGAATCTCCTTCAGAACCAAATCCATCTTACCAAACATCCCACTGAAAGACCTAAAGTCTTCTGCCGCTACAATCGCTAATTTTATTTAGCAAATCGCAGGAGACCTTTCTCTATGTGACCTGCGAACGAGGAATCATATCTTTCAAAAGCCTCTCCCAATCAATACCGCCATCAGTCTTTCATATACCGAGGCGCTTGATTATAAGAGAACCCATCACAAATATGTCACTAACCACGAGGATGAATGGCTACTTCCGTGAGCAGAGCCAGCGCGCTCGAGGACTTCATGTTCTTAAGCCCTCTATTACTCTTCCACGTGGCGTCTTAGATGGGCCTAGACGAATAATTGACCCAGATTCCGGTCTGGTATCTCAGGAAACAACTTCACGCGAACTCCAAGTCTCGGATTATCATTGGGATTCTCAATTTGAGTAAGCTGGCCCACTCTCCCACGCCACTTTTTTCTCATAATATGGAAACTGACAGACTTTTAGGGAACTTCTAGAAGCAAATTGGGAAGAATCTGATGACGATCAAGAGTTTACTGCTGGAGAAGCAATCACTGCACAATTTAAATGTAGGAAACCTCGTGTACCACGTTTAATGCAACTTTCGGTCGATTCTATTGTAAAGAACGTTAGCAGTATTACCTATGAAACCATCAAAAACATGCCTTCAACGCAGCTCGAGTTCCTTTGGCGGGAACTTTCAAAGAGGTTAGTTTTATCATTCTTTCTCCTTACTCTACTCTTAAATCGATGATTGCTGCAAAAAGACCCTGCACATTCTTCATTGTAGAGCACAGGATTCCAGATACTTGAAAACTACCTTGCATACTAGTACTGAGTTTAGCTGATCTCTTGGGTGTAGATGTGTCTACAGTTTTAATACTTGGAAGGCCTTTTCAAAAGCTCTCGATCGACAAGAAGGTGCCATTTTAAACCAATTTCGATACAGTGGTTCTGTCGCAGAGCCAGTACCGTCCTTGTCTGTCTACACGAAACCACTCAAATCAACTACTTTCGACTTTCTTGCACACTTATCTATTACCACTGCATTCGGTACTTCGAATATGGTCGAGTTATCTACACTCGTTAATTTAGTAGCTCTCGAGATTTCGAATCCAAAGCAAGATAATCGTGGAAGAACTGCCGGTAAGCAGTTCGATGCGAGCTTCGGAGATAGAGTAATCAAAACCTGGAGCGAAGTCGCAGCGAAGGGAAAGGGATTCAAAGTCTTGAGAATTCTAAAGCTTCGAAATTTCCTGGAGATCACGAACAATTGCTTCCAATACCTAAACGACTTTCCTGCTTTAGCTGTTTTCGATGTTATGGACTGTGATTTCAATGGATTGGCTCAACTCAGCGCTGAGAAACTTGGCTGGGAAATACATCCTGATGGAGCGTTACTCGAAATCTTGCAGTCAGATTGTGTAAAGCATATTATGGCTATGCGCGCAAGTCTTGGACTTCTTGTAAGTCATTTCATTCAACTCTTGAACCCCTTTTTCTTTTGAAAGAATCTCGGCAACAGTCTGAGCACGGACCTTTGTGTTCTGAATTTTTCTAAACTTGCTCGAGCACGTGCTTTGCATATGCCGTTTCAACAAAACAATTGCTAACAACAACTATCATAGGCTAGACCAATCCGTAGATCCACTGCTAAACCTCTGTGGGACAAAGCCAAAATCACAATGATACCTCGATCAGATGTACCAACCTTACTTACTGGAGGATCTCAGTCCGCAGCACGAAATAGCGCGTACCTTCACGCCGAAGAGCAAGTAAGAGCGATGGAAAGAACCCCTGCTGGCCGCGCCAAACTCAAGAGAACCGGTCTCTCTCACTTTGAAGCTGTGGATTATATCAGTCGCAAAGAATATCGCGAGCTTGAAACTTGGGAATTCCGTACCCTTACCTCTCTCAATCGAATTAGCGAGCTTCGCAACGACGAAGATTTGCGTGCCGCTGGCCTAAAGGTCGGCGAGTTTGTTCCTATGGTCTCCGGTGAATTCATATCTTCTATTCCAATTGCCTCTCTTCGTCTCGGTCCAGAATTATTTTGTACACCATCGCGGGCGGATTTGCATCAGCCATTCTACGATGGCGGAATAAGTGATAGATCGCTGAAGTATACTAGCAAAAACCTTGGAGTTGGCGCAAAAGGTTACGTCTATACTCGTATCACGATACCTATCGCTAGAGCTAGATCCCGACAGCAGCTCAATGAAACAATAGGTACCGAAGCTAGTGGCTCAGGATCTCGACCAAGCAAGCGTAGGAAAGTTAGAGGGGATAAGAGACAACAAATAGGCGATCTCTTGGCGGGGGTGATGGGAGTTATATAATTCTGGAGTTATTCTCGAAACTTATGGTGGTACTTGGCGTATAATTGCTCCTGGAAGTTCGGATTCAGGACCTTTCGGGGAATTCTTGTCTTGGTGAAATTCGAAATTTCTTTTGATGGTTGTAGGAGTTTTTGTATCCGCGTAGTTAGGAATACCCAAGTCAATTTCATGTCATAGACTCAAACTATAGCAAATAATGTAACATATTGTTTTCCAAACGTATTGGACGACAAACTTCTTTAGTTTCAATCAAACCAGATGATTGAGCGATTGACAACGTGAAGATAGTTCACCGGGCCCGAATAAATTTAGAAATCCCTCGACGTCTCTCATTACAGATCTGGTAATGGATGATATTGTTTGTACTATTCAAAATCATAATTTAATTCAATTCAGATTTATATGCACAGAGGGAAAACAGAAATGTATGTACAATGTTTTGATTATACTCATTTTCCTCCATCATTCCAAATATATATCAATCACAATCCTTGTGGTGGCAGAATCCGTGGTTAACGAAGTGATTGCTGCATCAACTACAATAAATTCTTTAGGCTTTCATTCTGTATCGAAAAGAATATTTTTAATAGATTAACATGATTAATCTTATTTTTGTACTCAATGAGGCTTATTCTAATCAATAGAGTTTTCATGAATTTCGTGAATTTGAAAATCTATTAGGTTTTAATCTAAAATAATCATTTTCAAATAGCGAAAAGTCTATTTATATTAAAATCAAATTATACTCCTGTTCATGCAATATATTCTGTATTATATAGTATAACAATAGAGCTTCCATTTGAAGAATAAATTGGAAACGATAAAGGCAATAAACAGACTTCCCCTTTAAACTTTCGGCTAATGCCTTCCACCCACCCTCTAGCTCATGTACTCTTACCCCTTCTACTCCTAGTTCCTACAGTCGCTCCCTTCCACTTTTCCTAAAATTCCAATATTCACTCTTGAATTTCTAAAATCTTACATGGCCTTTATTTTCTTTTTTCCTATCAAAATTCGGTAATAAACGGATTACCAAAAATGCCGATTTGATTTGTTTCTCACAAAATAAATGTATAGTTAATAACGAATAGAATACTAATATCACAACATACACATTAAAAGTTTGTATAGGGGTTTGTATTGAATTCCTCTTCGTTCCGAATATTAACTTTGCCACCACACGGAATGCAAAATTAATTGAATCCCTTTAGTGAAAGAGCGTTCAACTTTCTAACTTTTCTTCCCACCGAATCAAGATCCAATTTCCTATCGCCGGATAAGCCCAGGAATAAGGCGTGGGAGAGGGTGAGCTATTGTAATAATCACTCACGTGTCACATATTTCTCTTATATTTGACCTTCGCGAGTTGATTGGTACTACTGGCGGTACTCGCCCCAGGATTAACAGCCAACCTTTTGCTGACATGGTGGCCTTGCTACGCATGTATTAGAAACAGCCATACTAAGAAAAGTGGAGTCTGCAAGTAAATCGTGGTACAATTGAAATTTACAAGGCTATAATGTCATACCAATACGTAGGCAAGGCCCCTTTTGTGGCATGATTACAGCAGCAAAACGCCATCTAAACAAAGTAATACAACGTAGACAGAAACAAAAACGAGGGGTAAGCTAAACCCTGCTAGTTTAATCTCATTAGGCATATGCTTTCATACACTTCGAGACATCGGCTTGATAATCACCCAGCTCTACACCTTTCAGATAGTAAAGTTACGGGATTTAATCATATCAAATTCAGCCAGGGGTTTTGCTTTCGGATCATATCTCCAGCAGGCTGAAGCCTGTTAGGTACGTATACAAAGCAATAGGCCATGGCATTGACTATTCACAAGTGTCGCGCACTATCCTCACACCAGCTTGTCAGAGCCCCAATTTCGTTTCAATATAGCAAAGAAACTATGTATCCACAGAAATGAGAACAAAAGCCCATGGGACCCAACGTATCGGTTCCAGATGATATGAGAGAGACATGCAGATCAAGAAGGGAGTCTATGGAGACTCTGAATAGGGGCAATGCAAGCAATTTCATGCGAAGATAAAAGACACCGGACTATTTCGAAGTCATCCATTCATTGAGGAATGATAAGGCTACCTGTCAAAAGCCAAATGAACACCCAGCTGACGACAAAAAAATCGATATCAAGATGGTTGTTTCATCTCGTGAAACGACGGCTGGGTATAAAATATCCGAAGAAAAGATTTACTGCCATACGTCTGTTATGCAGACATTCAAAAATACAATTTCACATCTTTTTTTGCCCAAGAGACAGTGAAGGCGACCAGAGGATAACTTGGTGTTGTGTGAGTAAACTACTGCTCAAAGCACAGTATTATCTTGACCTAAATTGTCAGGAGTGTGCCGGGTACCCCTATGTGGATTTCAAAACAAAATCGCCAGAAAATATGCGAGACATACACGCGATACTGCATAACGTCCAAAATGTAGCAATCCGTAAATTTCGAGCTGTTCCAACTGGAGCAGGTCGACATTTTAGTTTCTGAACATTTTCTAATATTCCGCATTCAAAGGTCTCATCTAGTGGCCATGCTCACTCGGTCACGAATACCTTTCCACCCACATCGCAAGCGTTGACAAAATTAACGCCGAAATCACCAGCATTGATCTCTACGACATCCACCTCGTCGTTATTGATTTTGTCAACACCAACATCTTCCGTATGGACCTTATCAACTTCGACAGAAGCAACCTCTCTCGAATTCTGTACAAACGCTGGTGAGAATCTCAAAAAACTTGGCGAGATTAATCTCGTTGGTACAAAACTTGATGAGGATATGTTCAAAAGGACTCGTGAAAAAGACTATGACTTGCGCGGCGCGTGGTCCAAACTTTGGCTTCTCAAACCAGCATCTGTATATTTCGTAAGGGTATGTGATTAAACAACATTTCATTACAACTGCTGACCACAAAGACCAGTTCTCTGTAGAACAACGTTATCGCGTCGGTATTCTGCAAAAACCACTTTCTCTACCACCCGAAGTAGAGGTGGATCGAGACCGCTGGATATAAAATCTATGTTCACTTGATGAATGAGAGCTTCCTGTTACGGAGAATGTTATCTTCCACTATCTGAATTGCACCAATCCTACAGGAATTCTTTTCTGGATGAGAAAAGTCGCACGAAAATGCAATACAAGTATACTTGATAACGGAGCTGCACCAATTGTTTTGGGATAGGGAATCCATATTGATGAAGGCCCGAATTACAAAGTTATCTTCTGTATAAACTTTGTGGCCCAAGTGATAGGCGGCATCATAGCTTTGGCATGGTCACTTGCCAAAGGAGATTTTCATGGTGCTTTTGGCTTCGCGAGTTGGTTTATAGCTTCCGTGAACGCAATTCTGCTGACGCTTACGTATTGGTTAGACGAGCAAGCCTTATAAGCTCTACATGTCAACTGCCATGATGATTGTATTTCTATTGGACAATTAGATTATGTTAATATGATATTTTATTATCAGGATTCAAGAGGATGATAGACAACAGGTAAAGTCCCGATGACTAACTTCAAACATTAAGTGTAAAGTCCCTTGCTATAGAAAGATGAACAGACGATACAATAAGGTAGAGATATGACCTGCCTAACTTGGCTTCCTGTAAATTAACGAGTCCATGAATGAATTATCCAGCTATGGAGCATATCACAATGAGCATGCATAAGCTACCCCGTTCATTGAGTTGTACAAACGTTTTACAAGCGTTGAAAGTCCAGTTTGGTTTTCAGACACACGGCTTTTATACACTTGTTCAGCTACAGGAATGCTGTGTGTACCGGCTATGACTCTTTGCGATGTTCATAGCTTAAAAGCCTCTTGAAACAATAGACCACCCCTCAATTTGGAACTCGCGCTGCATCCGGAAAACAAACAGTAGAAGCACTGGAAACAATGATGAACGCTTTTTCTTCTATGACTTCATGTGATATTCCGCCAACTGACAATCTCTGACATTGCCGGCATCATCAAACAAGGAGAGTTCGGGAAGTTCACGTGTCCTCATGTTATCCAGAAGCTCCTCAAACACTTCCCTTGCAATCGAACGTTCAAGTGACTGTAAATGCTCCCCTTGTTGTTGATAATTTCCAATTGAGAGGATATCTCCGATTAATCGACGCAAACCCGATCTGGCGTAGGTAGCCTTGTAAGTCGCCTCGATTTGGTTCGGGACCATGAATGAAAAGTCTCGTAGATGTATTAAATGATCCATTGCTGCATTGAAAGCAAGGGGAAAGTCCCAATACTCGCAAAGTATACACAAATGGACAACGACAACTGCCCAGGTCTCATCGAACAAGGGCTCGTGCTCCATCTCAGCCTCGCTCAATATTGTATCCATATGGTCTTCTTGCAACCATTGCAGGAACAACTGTAAAGGAAGTTGGAAACAATCATCGAGTACATAAGCTGTATCACGGGTAGAGTGCAAGCCCAAATCACTGAAAAACGTGTTTTTATTCGTCACACGCTTGTTCTCGACTTGATATTCTATTGGGTATTGTTGGCCTCGAAATTTGACATAGAATGGAGACCAATTCCTGGCGAAGGGGGAACTGTAGATGAGATTGTGTAAGCATAAATGCAACAGGGTGGTAGAAATCTCATATACATTGGTGAATCATCGAAAGGATTGCTTGATTCCATTGTGCCTTGCACAATCCTGCGATGGGAAGGAAATATCTATGTTATTAAGTTTTATAATCTTGTTGTGTCAAGAAGTGATTTGATAAGAGTACGGATTTTTAGCAGAGATGCTGAAAGTATTTGAGAAGTAGAGAAGTAGAGAACACATGAACTGAACTTCTCTCGTGGTGACCCTCTTTTGATCATTTTCATTACATTGTCGAGAGGAAAGGGGGACCTTCGAATAGTGCATTCAATATCAAGGTGGTTACTGCCTTCGAATACCATAGGTAAGTTGAGTGGTCCTACGGAATTCGAGTGAGAAAGGAGGCCGGCATAACACTTCATTATTACTCTTAGATTGGGTATATAAGTAAGATGAATTCAAGATTTCAAGCATAATTAATCAGAATTCCGGATTTCGACAATGCTTCCCAAACATTACCTCTTTTTGTGGTATGAATTCAGGAGGTGGAGTGGATTACCGACATTAGTTCATAAATTCGTCAATCCTTATCAGCTTATCTTTAGCGCATAATCGCGAAAAGGGGACTGACTGATCGCGTCGAACGCGTAGGATGTTTAAATTGATTTTCGATTCGAGGCTTAAGTTATTTCCGCTGAAATTTTGGGAACCGCGGATACATACACGAACCTCATTATGCCACATTCTGTTTCCCCCGAAGAACTCTCGATACAATCACAAGAGAATATGTCTGAAAACAATGAGAAGCAGGATGATGCACAAATGAGTCAAGAGGCAGAGGATGCGTCTGCCAACATGCAGGTTGCTGAATTGAATGATGAAGAAGATATTGCAATGGCAGATGCTGGAGTTCAAGGCGAGGTGATACCTCAGGCGACTGCGAAAACCGAGACCAATTTATCAGAATTGTTTGCAGATGCAGAGTCAGACGATGAGTTCCCAAGTACAAATGCGAAAGAGGAAAAGCTGCCGAGCTCACCTGAAGCGCCAGCTTCCCCAGTGTAAGTATTGAAAGCTGCATTCCAGGCTCAGAAGCTAAGTAGATATCAAGAAATATCGGTCCTGCATCGCGAGCATCAGATCCAGAAGTTATGCGGTCCTTTTATCAGAGACTTTTCCCTTGGCGCCATTTATTTCAATGGCTTAATCATTCTCCGACACCCTCAACCGATTTTGGACATCGGGAATTTGCATTCACCCTTCAAAACGATGCATACTTGCGATACCAAGCATTCCCAACCTCCGATCTGTAAGTGATGGTGTACCGTTTAGGCCCGGCCCACTTGCGCTAACAAGCTTCAGTCTGCGTAAGGATGTTCTTCGTCTTATGCCGTCCAGATTTGAAATTGGCCCAGTGTATAGTACAAATCCCAGGGATCGCAAAACACTTCGCAAGTCTTCCGCCTTTCGACCAATAGCCAAGGAGTTGTGCTTCGATATTGATTTGACAGATTACGACGAGATCAGAACGTGCTGCGACAAAGCGAATATTTGTAACAAGTGCTGGCAATTCATTACGATGGCTATCAAAGTGGTTGATGTTGCGCTACGAGATGATTTTGGGTTCAAACATATCATGTGGGTATACTCTGGAAGGAGAGGAGCTCACGCTTGGGTATGCGACAAGAAAGCTAGGCAAATGGACGACCAGAAGAGAAGGGCTATCGCCGGATATCTTGAGGTCATTCGAGGTGGATCGCAAACTGCGAAAAAGGTTAATGTGAAAAGACCATTGCATCCGCATGTATTGTATGTGCATTTCCACTCTAATTCATCCTTTTACTAATATGAAGTAGACGAAGTCTTGATATACTCAAAGGTCACTTCCAAAACGACATACTTCATGATCAAGATCCGTGGGAGGAAGACGATAAAATTGACAAGTTATTACAGCTTCTACCTGACAGAACGCTGAATGAAAGTTTACGGAAAAAGTGGAGCTCTGCTCCTGGACGGTCATCAACGTCCAAATGGGCTGATATTGATGCATTGGCAAAATCCACCAAGGGTCTGGATCCAAGAGCCTTACTTGAAGCGAAGCAAGATATAGTTCTCGAATACACATACCCTCGACTCGATATTGAAGTCAGTAAACATCTCAACCATTTACTCAAAAGCCCTTTCGTCGTTCATCCAGGCACGGGAAGAGTGTGTGTTCCTATAGATACCAGACATATAATGGACTTTGATCCTCTCGCTGTACCAACTGTGACAGAACTTCTTGGTGAGATCGATCAGTGGGCTCCACCTGAAGATGGGGATATGGATGGAAAAAGCATACAGGATTGGGAGAAAACAAGTTTGAAGCCATATGTAGACTACTTCAGACTATTTGTCGCTGCTCTGATGAAAGACGAGAGCGATGTCAAAATCAAAAGGGAGCGAGATACAGATGCAATGGCATTCTGATTTTGTGGAATGTCACCACAGTCTTTGGCGTCATGGGTAGGTAGTGCTTTTGGCATAGATGTACTTGGTATATGGATAATAAATTAAGATATGAACATTAATTCGAATGATTATGATGCTAAGGTAGAAAGATCTTTGTTACATTGCAATTTCTCCTGGTATTACTTATGATACACATAGCTATGATATTATTTTAGGACTGCTCATGTGTTTCGCTGCGTCAGGAGCAACATTTGCATTGGTCTAAGCATTTTAGAAAATCAATTGTCCTTCGATGATCGGTAGCATGTTTCGAACTTCTTTGCCATTGATTGCTTCGTAAGTCAAACCTACTCCCGTCGTGTTTGATCTGTACGTGTAGTGAGTGAATACGTACTCAGGTAGGCAGGTAGGTATATGGATACATCAAGTATGACGGAAGGTCAATTATACATTTCTTGATAAGTGCTTCTTGGTGGGTGAATTCAGTGTTCTGTATGAATGTATCGAATTCTAGTCTTCTCAACCTTTTATCATCACCTAGGTAGGTACTAGATATATACTCCCTGGATGTTATTGTTATAAGGTGAATGTATAATACGATCCTGTGTACATACCTATGTACCGTACTTATTATTATTAACCCATCCTCCCTTCATTAGTCCTAATCTTAAAAACATTACATCACGTGGGCTGTCCTAGAATTACTTGGTAGCCTCTCCATTCTAGCCCTCCCGCCTGCCGAAAGCTTTTAGGAGCCACACTAAACCTTTAAAGTTTCTCTGATCTTCCTTTCAATCCAAACCACCTCACCTCACCTCACCTCACCTCAACTCAACCCAAATCAAACCCTTGAAGAATTTGAAATAAACACAACAACCCACGACTCACAACCCGTCAACTACCATACCACAACAACTACCGTCACAGAATCTTCAGATCTCTACATAAACCAGATCACCGATTACAATACTCAATTCAATTCATGCGCACAATCCTGCAGACAAGAAAAAGCATAAATCCATCTGCTTAATAACCCCACTACAAATACATCACAAACAACCAACAATTTCCTCGAGATCAACAACCACCCCTCAACTCGATAATAACTCGTATATTCTCATCTTACAAGATCAACATCAACATCATTGCGGCCTTCCTTTTCACCGGCCTTCTCTAGTGTTATACTATTTTATGCTGAATTAACCGCATACGATCCGAGACGAATTCCAATAGAACGCGACCTTATTTTCGCGCCTCAACACCACGTCTCAGACCTTTATTCTACAGATACCCTCTTCCAACAAAAACTACATATACAATGGCTGATGAGCTGGCAAATAAGCTAGCGGCTACAAAGATCAAGTATGGTCGTCACTCCTGGGATATTTTTAATTGTCACTGATATGAGAATAGTGATAATGCTTCCTCGGACAACTGGAAAGCTGGTCTTAACATCCCAGTGAAAGATACGAGGCAACAGACAGAGGTACTTAAACATATCGTTGTCTACTCTAAGTTTCTTTAGAGTCACTAACATATTTATGTAGGATGTTACCGCCACCAAAGGTCTCGAATTCGAAGATTTCTCCATCAAGCGAGAGCTGTTAATGGGCATTTTCGAAATGGGTTACGAGAAACCATCCCCAATTCAAGAAGAGGCAATCCCCGTGGCCCTTACAGGTCGAGACATACTGGCTAGAGCGAAGAACGGTACCGGTAAAACTGCCGCCTTCGTTATCCCTGCACTCGAACGCATCAACCCCAAAAACACCAAAGTACAATGTCTCATTCTGGTACCTACTCGAGAACTAGCTCTCCAAACTTCACAAGTCTGCAAAACTCTTGGTCAACATCTTGGCATCAATGTTATGGTTACTACTGGTGGTACTACCTTACGAGATGACATCCTGCGTCTCCAAGAGCCCGTTCACATTATCGTCGGTACACCTGGTAGAATCCTCGACTTAGCTGGAAAGAATGTGGCCGACCTCAGTGAGTGCAATATGTTTGTCATGGATGAAGCTGATAAACTACTCTCACCTGAATTCACCATCGTCATCGAACAATTACTCCAATTCCATCCAAAGGATCGACAGATCATGCTCTTCAGCGCAACATTCCCAATGACAGTCAAAGACTTTTCGGATAAAAACATGGTCGACCCCTACGAAATTAATCTCATGGACGAGCTCACTCTGCGCGGTATTACTCAGTTTTACGCATTTGTTGAAGAGAAAGAGAAAGTGCATTGTCTCAATACTTTGTTCTCAAAATTACAAATCAACCAGTCGATCATCTTTTGCAACTCCACAAATCGAGTCGAGCTTCTTGCCAAGAAGATTACCGAATTAGGCTATTCATGTTTTTATAGTCATGCTCGTATGATTCAAGCCAACAGAAACCGCGTTTTCCACGACTTTCGAAATGGTGTCTGCCGCAATCTTGTTTGCTCCGATTTACTTACTCGTGGTATTGACATTCAAGCTGTGAATGTTGTTATCAATTTCGATTTCCCTAAGAACGCTGAAACTTATCTTCATCGTATTGGTAGATCTGGCCGATTTGGACATCTCGGTCTCGCTATCAACCTCATTAGTTGGGAGGACCGCTTCAACTTGTATAATATCGAGCGTGAACTTGGGACAGAGATTGCTCCAATTCCACAAATTATCCCGAAGAACCTATATGTTTACGAGACTCCCGAAAACATCCCCCGTCCTGTGTCCAATTTCCAAACCAACACCCGCCAGGCATCAGGACCAGGACGGGATCAGCAACAACCCACGCAGCACGCTGGGAATCAGAGGAGCGGTGGTCAATATAATAATTATAATAATGGACGTCAGAGTGGCCCAGGCCAAAACCAGAGTCAAGGACAAGGACAGGTACAGGGACAAGGACCGAGACAAAACCAAGGTCAGCGTCAAAACTATTCCAGGGGCCGAGGCGGATTTGGTGGTGGTAGAGGAAGCGGTCAAGGACCACGACAAAACGGTTACGACAACTCAAGAGGAGGTCGAGGTCAGGGTCCTCCACCAGCTCAATAGGCTTGTGTACCAACCGTATTGCACGTGATGATGATGTTTGGAGTTTTGTACATATAACCTTCTATTCCCTTTCCGATAGACTCGATTTTACGACGGACATGGCTGCAGGATTTTTTTGCTCTCGACGTTGAGCTGTTTCTGGATGCATCCCGCTACTCGACTTGACGTTTGATTCGGCTCATGAATTTCTTCAGCTGTCGCTGAGTTTTCGTGTTTGTATCATATGACTCTCGTTTTTAAATTTTCTCTCTTTCATTTTCTCAACAGATAACTACTTTGGGTCGCATGAGTAGTAGCGGATAGCAAAAGTTTCGGCGAATTCGCTCTGGTATGACGGCATGGCGTAATGGGAGGGCGTTCAATGAGGGTACTCGCAGGAGAAACTTTTCTAGTCTAGACTGGTTCTGCTGTAAAGGCAATTCCGGAATGGGCGATGGGTAAATCTGTTTTCTTCATCTTATGGGCTCATGGTAATGAGCATTTGATGAATGGATGGTGACGGGTGGGCCAACTGGTGGATGATTTGTTTGTTGGGTTAATGTTAGTAAAGATGATTCAATCAACATTGACTCATGGCTGGCATTGATGAGAAGAGGGGAGCAGGAGATCGCGCTGCTGAGAGTGCTTTACAATGGCAATGATGGTCACTTCTCACACTCTTGAAGTGGGGAGCACGACATCTCGGGATGAGGGGTGTTCACAAAAAAACAACATAAAAAAACTTTAGAGAGGAACCTTCGATCTTGATGTTAGTTTGAATCGAGCATGGACTTGATAGCTTTCATCATTTTCAGACAATACTATTCTTTCTCTTTACTTGCATCTCGATGAGCATGATGATATTGATTTACATGTGATACAGTAGTACCGCATTGAACTTGAATATATATGACGGTTTGAAACATCAAATATTATATGCAGCAGAGCCTCTTACATGATGTTATGCACATGTGCATGCCGGCCAGTCGGTTGGTTGTGCACATGGACAGTGACGGAGAGCATGAAATTCTAATAAGTTCTAGTTTCAGTGCCTGATGTACTCAGGTTTAAACAGAAGCTGCAACCTATGATGTACAAAGTGGATCCAAGCCGAGGTAACCAAAGCTAACACGACAGTGAGGCAATGAGCACATGTACATGTACTTATTCTTCCGTGTCGGTCAATTCGCAGATTGAGCCATGTTACAATACATGACCTTCCCACTCCATGGATCAGGAATTTTGGAGGGCCATCATAACAAAGGGTAGCAAAATGTTACCTCGGGGTTCTAGCCTAATACTCGTGGCTGAGCTGCTAGGTGTTGCAAAATGACTCTCTTGGATTTGTTAGAATGGATGAGCGCATGGGAATGAATAGAACGAAAAGGTACCACGAGGCACTAAGAAGAACCACGGGCATGAAGTACGCATGGCGATAAGGGATGTAAATCAATGGACACGCTAGAAGGGAACAAGGAGAATTTATTTTTCGTCTGATGTCTCACTTTTCGAGAAAGTTCTTCTCGATGTTCTTGAACTTTTTGAATACCTAACATTGATGTATATTCTTGTCTCCGATGGTGAAACGTACGTGGTTAGCTAGATGCAAATTCATCTATCGAGGAAGTGAGGGAATGATCGAAATCAACATGTGGTCTTGGATTTGTCTATTCTTGTATAAAAGCACTCGGCGTGTTTACATTATACTCGTATATTGATGGGATGTAGATTAAGAGGAAGCTTGTGTACGAATAATAACAAAATAAATGACGCGTCGCAGGTCTTCCGGTGGGCACTGCTGTGGATAGACTGACTGCGCGAGATGCGAAATGCAATTTATATCTTCAATTTTGAGCGTAGCGAGCTATAGGGGCTGAGATCCCCCCCCCCCAATGTTGCACCTTCGCATATTGAACAGATTTGAGCGGCCAAGGATGCTCAAAACGGCAATATGAAATACTTTCTCCATCCTGTCTTTCACTTGATTGGATTGTAGATCCCCGCATGCTTATGATAAATAGACTTCGTGACAATGTAATCTTACATGCACGCAGAACAACTACTCTTCTTAGATATTTTGGCCCAAAGGCCATCCGAGCGGACAATAACCAGTAGGAAAAGAGAATTTCCTATGTCAGCTGGACCGTTCCGACATAACGACCGAGAAATGATTTTGTGGCTTGAACGATGAAATATTCTAGGGGAGATCGTGAAGAGGGATTGGTCGGGGAATGTGGAGGGATTATATGTAATACTCGGTTTTTCGAAGCGGTGAGAAGGTACCAAAAGTGATGGACGTGACTACTCACGAGCAGTAGGCAGGCTTAGTAGGTAGGTAATGGTAATTAGTCAACGATGATGATTTATCTTACCCCTCCTTTTATTTCTGTTATTCTATTGCTTATTTGGTATTTTCTTTCGTGACATGATGATCAAGCAAGTGGGCAAGCAAGTAAACACCTACTCGTAGACAAGAGACCTTTATCTTTCGATATGGACATCTTCTTTCTTATGAATTAGAAGCGCATATAAATATATATAAATGGATCGAAGCATTCCTCGAGAAGTTTGCTGTCATTCCATGGATATTCTTAAGTGATCACTCACTCACTCGCTCACTCAGCCACCTACTCACTCGGAACATTCATCACCCATTGTTTTATAGAGATATACAAATATATGAATACACTTCATACTTCACTTTTACTCTACTTGCTCCTAGTTTATATTTTATTGTTTAATAAGGATGATTATATGATGCAGTTCCATCTGGTGAACTGATATTAACCTTTGAATTTCCTTCATACTTTTAGCGTCCTCCAACCCCCCCACCAAAACTTGTCGTTCGATCTAACAAAGTTCATTTGGGTATCTGTGGGTTTGTTCGTTCCAGAATCTAAAATTAATTCAATGTCAATGTCAATTTCAATTTCAAATTGAATTCTATTCTATTCCATTTTCTTTTTTTACAAGAAAAGAAATACCAAAGAAATCTTTTCACTCCGCCGGTTCTTATTATACAACTATCAAGAGTGAAGAATTGAGAATCAAGAATTGAGAATCGAGAATCCCTCAATGACCAAGCACTGGTCAATCAATTACCAATCATCAATCAATCAATACCAATACCAATACCAATACCAATACCAATACCCCATACCAGAAACCTACCACGAATAGCCTCGCTTTCTCGCCTTCTCGCTTTTGCTTCTTCGATTTGGTTCCAATCGTACACCTTCCACCCTCCTGTTTTGTGTAAACCAAAGCATCCGAGTTCTGGGAGGAGTCCATATCCAATATCCAATATCCCGACAACTCGCAGAAGAACAAAGAGTTTGAGAGTGTGAGACGATCCTAAAAAAGAAATCGAAATCCACTTTGTCACCAAGGTCCCACAGAAAGAGACGGCAACACTGGGATTAAGAGGATTAAAAGCAGAAAAAAGTCTGAGACATTTCAAAATACCGAGAATTTGGCAACAAACAGGAAGACAGAGAAAAAGTGTGAGAGGCAAAAAAGTAGAATCGACAAGGACCTATTGATTCACACATCCATTGATCTTCTTCTAATACTATGGCTTTAATTGTAAGATAAATTATCCATTCACACCCTCCTACTCTCACACCCTTACATTCTCAATTTCTACAATTGTTTTGTGGTCGCAGTCGCAGTCGCAGTCGCATCCGCATCATGTTCACACCCCTTCGCGCCTCCATTATTTGTTAATGCTGCGCCCGTGTTTGCCTTATGGATGGATGGATGGATGGGCGCACAATACAATTGTTTCCGTGAACGATATGCGACTGGTTCGCAATGATAATTAGGACGTTTGGGGGGTTTAATAGGGCAATCATGGGACCTTGTACTGACCTTGTGTTCTCTACCATAGTTATGTCTCGCGCATTATTGCGACACTCATGGTCCAACCCCGGTTATGGTAACAGAAGCACTTCCAGTAAATTGTACTTCGTGTCCAGAAAAAGAAGAATCCACCCCTCGGAGGCCCAGTACAAGTAAATCGTTCAAATCCTCGGAACCTTCACTAAATACAAGTGCGCATGATTCACATAGAACGAATTCCATTGTTTCCGAGCCAGACGTTGCGACGAGTCGGTCTGCTCTTCATGTAAACTCAAGTCCTTCGAATGCACCAAGTACAGCGGGTTCTGCGGGCGAAACACCTCCTCAAAGTCCCAGAGTACCTTCTTTGCAGAATTCACAGAACACGACAACCCAATTGCGACGCGATTCGAGCTTTCGCAAGACATATCCAAGTGAAAAGCCAGGTCCATGCGAGAATTGCGCTCTTACTTTACCTAAGAAAACCAAGGAAGATATGCCCACAAGTCCTAAGCCTTCAGGAACTGGCAAACTCGATAATGGTCCAATATTGCGAACAAGGAAGCCTTATGAGCGCATTGCAGGTCAGAGTACCCCTCCCAAGTCTGCATCCTCAGATTCAGACGATTCGGAATGCGCAATTCAAAAAGAAGAACGGGGAGAGCAGCACAAGGCTCGGAGACTCCCGGTCAAGAGATCCGACACATCTCCTCCTACCTATACCACCAGAGAATTCCTTTCGCATAATCACTTCGTTGACTATACGTCAACGCATGAACCTCTACAGCCCACTTCTTTTTCCATTATCCGACAATCTTGTCTCCGTACCCTTTCTTGTGAAACCCTTCCACCGTCCTCAAATCCCACACCCAATTGCACGCCCTCCTCCCCCTTTATCTCCAGTTTCTCCTCTCACCTCACATCTTCCACAACTACTTCATCTGGCGGCCCAATCTTCTTTGGCGATCCAATGGCTGGCTACACCACCGCATATATATTTCGCATCCCTGATCCCTCTGCTCGTGGTCGTCGTCGGGTCTATGCGCTAATCGCTCTCTCCACTCAAAAAGAACGCATGGCCATGCGCACCTTTTCTTTCCTCGACGCTGCCTTCCGTGATCTCGCAGATTGGATCGCACGCCTCGCTGATGAGGAACTTGCACGTTCTGAATCAGCTCTCCAATCCCCTAGACCTGGTGATGAGAAAAATGGCAATGGGAACACCAGCGGTCCTTTTGGAGGTGGTGGTACGACAACTACACCTACTTCATCTTTCTTAAGAGGTGGTAATAGAGGACCGGATAGTAGAATGGCTGGTGCGAGTTTAAAAGGAAGAGGCTTGGCTGAGTTGGTGGGATTGCCCGATTTTTTCATCGAGTTGCATAGTAGATTTGTGAGATTGCTAGCGGAGATTGAAAGACCGAGATAAAAGTCGACCTCTCGTAAACGTTCGATCCAAAGTCCCATATTCAAAAGTTTCGAGTTGAGTGGAAAACTAGTATTGCCTCCTAACTCTGGCGCTTACAAAGGAAAAGGTGTGGTGTTATGACTTATGGCGAAGCATAGATATTGGCGTTTGTGATTCTTGGTTCGTATTCTTGCTATATTATTGTGTGAGGTTCATCTAGTGCAGATTGGGCCACGAGATTGTTTGGAGTCCAGAGCAGTTTCCTTTATCTTTTCTTCTTGGGTTGTTTTGATTCCTATTCTCGTGTGGTGGGATAATGAGTTGGTATGTTGAGGATGTGCGTCTTATGACTTGATCGATCTGGCAACGTTTCAGTTTTTTGAACACGATCTTGCTGAGGAATGTCAAAATTATAAAAAAACATCTAAGATCGTAGGCGTAGTCGATAAGCTGGGGGCTGAGAGAGGATATTGTAGGATGTACTGGTGTACGAGAAATGAGGAGTAAGAAGGTAATTCTGTTATATGTATTCGAAGTTGATTTTGATCTCCAGAGGCGCATTTTCAGCCAAGCGAAAGATATTGATACCATGTGTCGTGCTGGGTGGAGAGAATGTTGAAGCTGTATAAGTTTGTTGCACTGGTGTATTTTTATTGAAGTAATGTAAAGTTGTGTGACTTCTCGCGAGCGCGAGTTTTCCAGGGAGCATAGAAGCTGAGGAACTGACGAGAACGGTGAAGTTGAGATGGGGTTTGTAGAGAAATTAAATTCTGTAGCTTAGGAGGTAGTAGTTAGTTGATAATGTATGAAGTACAATATTTAGAGCGAGTAGCATTTTGCGAGCATTCTTTCTTTTGGTATTATTGAGAAGATCTTTGGAGAAACAAGATTTATGGTGTTGCGATTAAGTGAGAAGATGATTGTCCTTTGAGGACTGGGAGACATTGGCCAATCGAGAAATCAGAGTTGGGGACGATCGATGGGCGAGTCATTGGTGGCAAGGAACTCCCCTAAAAATCAATTTTATTTATCCTTTCAATTTTCTTCATACTTCACTATCCATCCGAATTCAGGGGTTTCACCCAATACCTGCAGCAGGATGTGAATACATATCTTCAATCTGCTGCAGGAATTTGAAGAATGGATCTTTCCACACAAGAATTACTACTCGCTTTTGTGAAGCTTATCTACATAGCTAGTGCTTCATCCGTACACATTATGCCACCAAGACTCAGAATTAGACATAGATGTCTCTTTTCCAGTGAAAGTTGACAGGGAGATAATGCTATCGTGACTCATATTTACAATTCTTCATCAGCTCTAATAGTATTCTTATAAAGTTGTCTTGAGCAAACACTTTAGGGGAGAGGGAGGAGGGAAGAATGGTATCTATAGATTCAGATCGGTGTACTGAAGATTATTGGTGAGAGTTGGATACAATTGTTGCTATGCGGAGAAAACTACTCAAAAGATAAGACAAATTTGTGGTCGAGTGAACAGATGATCTCGATTTCCATGAGAAAGTCACAGACACATTATACTCACAGTGAAGTGAACTGAGAACGTTGCCTGAGAACGATAAACGAAGCCTCGTACCTCGATGACTATTCTGCCAGGCTTTTGCCCATTTACAAGAGGTGCATTCCGACCGGTCTTGTGGGAAGGATAGGATGTCAAAGTGATTATTTAAAGCCCAATAATCTCGTTTCGAGTCCACCGAAGAGTCAATTCTTTTTGATGAATGGGCCATAATTGAAGCTCAGAGATCATGTCAAAGCCCTGGAGCGATGATTCAATCAAGGATTCAAGGGAACAGAATTAAAGATTTTAGAAGTCAATGAAAAGTATATCTCAATCGGCATTGCAAGTTTCATGAAAGTCATGACTTCTTACAAGTGTTTTCTTCACCTGCTTACACATTTTCCAGATTTTTCAGATCAAAAGATCAAAGGATCTTGATAAGTCTCGATTGTCTGATGTTCGATGACTAGTTTTTGCAGATAGGTTCGTTGCTTGTAATTTTTTCCTCTCGAAACAAAACGAATATCATAAAGATTACACCAATGACTACCATACCCGGCTTGTGTCGTTCAACGCATGAGGAAGAAGTGCTCGGAGTATGGTTGATCCGGCTGAAAATGCTCCTTCCTTCAGTTTTGATGGTATCAAGAAATCTGGCTTTGCTCCTTCCTTGGCATAAGTCCGATGTGCATTTACAAGCTCGATCCATTTCTTGCTTCTAAATTTCTAAATTCTATATCAACCTGTCAAAGAAATCGAACTTACTCCATGCCCCCTTGAGAGGACTTGGGAGACATGGACTTCATAGGATTTTCAAAACGCAACTATCCGACTGACAAACCATTTATCTACACTATCCTTCCGTCACCCACGTCTATTCGACTTCTTGAGATAACATCAAAGCTATGGTGTCGTACCAAATACACTTTCCATATAGTGGAACTTACCGAGGCTCCGGTATTTGATGTCGTAACCCATTCGCGGCGGGATCTCGTTCCACGAAATCATATTATACTTTGTGATAACAAGACATTGAGAATCTGTGGGGATGCAAAGAATTCCATTGAAATCGGAAGGGATGTTGCCTCAAAAATTTCCGGGAAGATGAAGACACGATATATTTGGATCGATTCGGTGTGCATTAACTCAGGGGATCCCATGGACAGAACTGCCCAAATTTCGATGATGCCGGAAATTCTCAAAAAGGCTCGGAACGTCATTGTTGGACTTGGGAAGAAGGATGCTTTTACTTCTGATGCTTTGAAAGCCCTAAAAACACTATCTTTGGTGCCGCATGATGAGTGGTCAAATTTAGTGAGCTTGAATTGGGATTGTCAGGAACAGTACTTCCGAAGGCTCAAAATTGCACCATTCCAATTGCGATCATGGCTCAGTCTCATAGCTTTCTTTAATAGGCCTTGGTTCTCAGGTATCTGGGCTTTGCAAGAGGTTACAATAGGAAATGATGTGATCCTTGCTTGTAACAAGGAAATCATTCCTTGGAAAACAATCTCGAAGGCATTGTCGTTCTTAACCCATACTGAATGGTATAAGGAACTTCACACCAATCGTTTAATCAAGTTTCCCAGAAATTCTCTGAAGGATAGGCGTTTCAAAAGGCATCAAATACTATTGAATTCAGAGATAGGCTTCAAGATGGCAGTTTTACAACTTGAATCCACTCGAGCAGGGAGTGAATCTACCCAGCTTCTTCCTCTATTTCGATATCTTCTTCGCGCGCATCGATATTGTGAGGCTTCCGACAAACGAGATATCATTTACGCGCTACTCGGTTTATCAAGGAAGGAAAGTCTACCATTCACGAAGTTTCCAGATGTCCTTTTAGTTGATTATGAGATGACGGCACAAGATATTTACACTAATGTGGCTAGAGTCTTGCTCCGATGCTATGGCTTAGGAATTTTATCGGATGTTCAAGATTCGATAGCGTCTATTCCTAATCTACCGACATGGGTTCCAGATTATAGTGTCCCGCGAATGCCTTTGCCTCTGTCAATGCGCGGCGACTGTACTTGGAGTGCCTGTGGTAATCTTGAGTGGAAGCAAGAATTCTTAGAGACTGACCCTTATTCCTTGGTATTGCAAGGTATACTGCTTGACACAGTCTGTGAAAAGGTCAAACAACAGAACAAGTCCTTGCATCCGATAGAATTCTTGGATGGGGTATATGAGGTTGCAGCTCATCTTGACCCCATATATCCACTTTCAATGGGTGGCAAGTAAGTTTCTCGAATTTATTTGATTTCTCAACAAATTCCCTAACGTCCCAATCAACAGATTTCAATCTTCACGTGAAGTTGTATGGCGCACTATTCTAGCGGATACATATCGAAAGGAGCATCCGGCACCGCAACATTGTGAGGAACTCGTAGCACACTATCAGGAATGGGTCCGCAACGGAGTACGCAATGGATCTCCGGCAACATATTCCATGCAACGACTCAGTGTCACCGAGAAGCAACCGCGTAAGTACGGCAAAGAGGACTTCTCATGTCTTGAGAGGGAGATAGAGGCTGCAAATGATTCCCGGACTCTATTTCGAACTCGCAAAGGTTATCTTGGTATCGGAGCACAATCTTTACGTCCGTCTGACGAAGTTTGGGTTTTAGCGGGTGCTTCAGTACCTTTTATTCTTCGACGAGGCGAAGATGAATTCTATGAACTAGTTGGAGAGATATATCTACATGGAGTTATGCATGGAGAAGCTTTGGAATGGGGACATGAAATCAGGAATGTATTGTTGAAATAAGGATAAAGAACGTAAATCTAAATAGGAGCCAGTTTTCAGATTGAGTTTTGTGGGCCCTCAAAATCTTCAAGTCAAAAAAGCAAACAGTGGCAATGCAAAACTCGAATATCTTTCGATGTGTTCAACGGTTACAGCAGAAAGTCTTTTCATATGAATCTCCCAAAGATTATGAGTATCAAAATCACATGTGGTATCTTCATGGAACAAATCAAATTATTAGGATTTGGGTCATTTGTATGTACTTAAAACATGAGCGACTTTCATCTAGCTCGAAGTGGAGAAGCTTGCGGGAATCGGGTCATAAATTTGTCCGTAAACTAGGTTATCGGTCATCACAATGATTTATAAGGGAACAGAATGAAATACAACCCTTAAAAAGTTTATTAATGAATCAATTCAATATAATTGATTATACTTCCTGTGAGAATCGATTTCAAATGAATTTTAGTTCTAGGTATAAAGACTACTAGGGTTTGATCATCAGCCTAGAACGTTTTTTCAGACAACCCCTAGAAAAAGCAAGCAAATCGGGGTAATTCATCTCCTTATTATTTGACTTCGAATTTACCATAGTATCATATATTCGATCAATCTTCAAGCATAAAGTGCCTAAGTCACTCACTAATATTATAATATAAAAGCTAACCACCAAGACTTTGATTCATTATGTTACTAGCATTGTAGCACATTGAAGTGTCAAGCGTTCCCAACACCTTTACAAGTTCAAAGAAAGCCTCATCCATCGCCATACACCATACTTTTTTCTTCCTTCCTTGAAGTATCACGGCCGCTGTATCCTACCCTTTACCAAATCACTATGCCCATCCAAAAGCAAGTCTTCCTCATTGGTCCTAGATTCATCGGCGGCGAGATACTAGATCTTTTAGTCGAAGGAAGCCGCTATGAAATTACGGTACTCGTTCGCAGACAAGCTGCTGCCGAGAAACTCGAGAAACTTGGCGTTAAGACGATTAGAGGGTCTCTCAGCGACTCGGAAATCATTGCAAGGCAAGCTTGCTTGAGTGATATCACTATTTAGATCGCGACTGGAGACGATCTTGTCTCAGTAGAAGTCGTCATCGAAGGCATCATTCAACGTTTGCAAAGTGGTTAGAATGTCATTTTTATCTATACGAGCGGAGCGAGTTTTCTTGCAGATGATTCGAGAGGCTCTTTTCCAACCGAAGTTTTTTACGAGGATGATAAACCGGAGAAGATTAACGCAAAATCTGACGAGGCACCACATCGAAAGATTGATCTGGCCATTGTCAACGCTAATAAGAGTCTCGGCCCAAAAGCGAAACTAGCTATCAGGATCCCTCCCCTCATCTATGGAATCAGCTCTCGGGAAAAGCGGTTATCGATTCAGTTACCTACTTTAGCTCGATTTGCGATAAAGCATGGCTATGCCGGACATATTGGGAAAGGTTTATCAAGGTGGTTACATATACATGTTCGCGATTTAGCGAGAGGTTATGTGATATTGTTGTACTCGCTTGAGACAAGTGACTTGGGCATCAAGAACCCTTACTATTCTTGCAGTAATGGAGAAGACTTATCATGGAGAGAATGTGCTTCAGAGATCGGTAAGATCTTGTACGAAAAGGGAAAAATCAAGAGTCCTGAGATCAAAACTATACCTTTGGAATTGTACAACGACTTATTCGGGCCATATTCATCCGTAGTGGTTGGTTCTAATTCCTTAAATAGAGCTAATCGATTAAGAGAACTGGGATGGGAGGCAAGAGAGCAAACGACTCTCGGATCTTTGCGTGATGAATTGATGATGATATTGCAGGAAAAGGAGCCCTTTTCGGGATACTTTGCATCTGTAACTTCTGGATCAAACCGAGATTGATGGGTCCCCTGGTTTCAAACACTGGCTTTTAGACATGAGAATAGAATAATAAGAAGCACCCAAGCCATGCATTTCCAGAAATCACAAAACAATGAGTACTGGACTGTTTTTCATACGACCTGTAGAATTTAGATTCTCTGTCAATCTGCGTAATCAATTACTACGCACTGTATTTTTATACATGGTCGAAATAAGCGAGGGATCCTATCCGGTGATTTATAGCAGCAAGAGAGACCTAGGAACATTGGAAGCTGCGCACTGCATCTTCCAGTATATCCTTAGAATCCTGAGATGACTACGAGTGGAATAACCAAGTTACATTGATCAAGCGGGTTTCAAGCTGTCCCAAATTTTGACGTCAAATATTGTTGTAACCTTCAATACCAAGAAAAATCGGGGTGGGACAATATGCTCTATATTATCTCTAATAACAATTTTGAATTCCGAGTAGCAAAATGTCTTATACTAATTTCTAATCAAGCTTTGGTGAGACCCAATGAGTTTGAGAAATTATCATGTGGAAACTCTTAGTGTAACTTTGCTTGTACTAGGTGAATAGTCTCTCTGCGTTCTTTTTGGCGAACCTATCCCCTATACTGCCAACAGAAGACACCTCGCTCTATTGACCAATCAGAACATCAGAAATTCGAGAATTCTCATCACTTAAATGTTAGTTTCTTAATAACACTTATTAGCTATCTATAATAATACTTTTAAAATTATTTCACAATTATTTTTCAATAAAAGAAATATAAATTTGTACTTCATAAATCTTTTTTTAATAAATTCCAAATTTCAAATTTGATATAAAAGCTTTTAATTATAATATCAATTATCGAATTATTGATGATTGTGGTTGTGTACGAGCTACTTAAGGTGTTCTATGCCGGCAGTTTAGGGGATAGGATCTCAAGGGCTCTCTGTTCCCTTGTATTTTGCAGAATTTGCTCTACCTCCTAGATTTGTATTGTAAAACTTAGCAACTTCAACATTCTAGCAAGTTGTAAGCATCAAGAATCAAGACTGTCCGCAGAACATGACCTTGGTTATTCATCTTTCTAATGACACTTGATTTGTCGATGGAGTAGGTTCGATAATCAAGAATGCTTTTCCAACCGAGACGAATTCCCCCTGGCAGGTCTCATCTTTCATCTGGGTCAAAAGAAAAAGATATCAGTATGCCAGCAATGATTCAATGAACGAATCGTTTGGTTGCTTGCCTTTCGACATATAAATAAATATTCGAATGCCGAGGCAAATTCATATGACGGTGACCACAGACGCGAAAAGTAATTAAGCAATATGTTGTCCAAAACATCCTCATGCCAAATGCAGTCGCAATTGTTGGCTTATTTTATACCACCAACGGCTCTGGTTAGAATTGGGAGTGGCGTATCACACACTTGGACTGCCTGCACGCCAGGCTTGAATCTGCAAGAACTTGGTTTATCGCCCGACGATCAAATCGTGTCAGACGGTCAATTTCTAGCGGTTGTTCAATCCCTAGCAAAATTCATACTTTGAACGTAAAGCAATTCAATATAAATCCACATATAAATTTTTATTTTATATTGCTTCAGTCGAAAATCTAAAGGGGGGGTCTGTTTACAACTCGTATCACTTCACTTTCATTTTATTCTTCAATCAGAAGCTTTACCATTGTACCACACTCGACAAAACGTACTATAGAAACATTAATATCTGACCACTCTAATATATATTTATGTTTATGATTATTAATCAAATCAAATACAAGCACCAGTGGGTGCACGGACTCACGGGACACTGAAGAGGGAAAGTACAATTTCACACCAAAAAGAGCTGTTTTGATAATTCAATCAAAATTCAAAATTTCTATAAATTTATTTGAAAATTAGAAATATAAATCTAAAGCATAATTTTTATATACAATCTCAAAATCGAATTGAAAAATCTAATATTGATATTTTTATAAAAAAATATATAATTTTTTATTAAAAAATTTGATAAGAAAATATACTATTTGTTTTTTGAATTCAAATCTCAATTTTTTTGAACTACTTTTAAATCAATTATTTTTTTATACTTAAAAAACAATATATTTTAATTTCAAAAGAGTTTTATAATAAATTGAATTTTAATAAAATTATCAAAATTACTTATTTTGGTAAGAAATTGTGCTTTTCTGTTACGTTGTCCTGTGAGTCCGTGCACCCCCTGGTGAAGTAAACTTTTCAATGTGAAAATGATTAACTTAGGCTAAAACTTAGAATTAGGTTTTCAAATTCAAGAAATTCATGAAGACTTTATTGATTAGAATAAGCTTTGTTAAATACGAAGATAAAATTAATTAGATTAGTTTATTGAAAACGATTAGTTTGATATATAATGAAAGTATAGAAGATTTCATTATAGTAACGAAGCGTTTACTATCTCAATCACGGATTCTACTACTATAAGGCAGTCTCGATAGTATAGGTAATAGTACTTTCTATAATTCGTATATGAGTTAGTTTAGTGATGTGTATTGATTTCCTTTGAAATATATATATATGTGATATAGAATTCAATATTACTAAAAATATTTAATATAAATAGTAATATATTAAAATACTAGAATTCACACATATAAAATATCTATTAATATAAAAGATTTCAATTCAATTTGACTAAGGAATATAATTTAATTACTTAAAATAAATAGAAATAGATATTTTATACTGAATTCTAGTTATTTGAATATAATACTAATATTCTTTAGATATATAAATCTATATGAGAGTAGTATAATTCCCTTTCTAAATATATTGCTGTAATATTAATATACTAATATACTAATATACGCCATAGTTTCACTATAGTATACTATTGTCTAGAATGCTACAAGGGAATACGAGGGATATAAAGTTTTCCTTCCAACTAGACAAACCCAAAGGTTAATAAACGAAATAGATTATAAGGGCTGTAATGATCTGAATTGTATAAGGACCCCTAAATATAAGATTGATTATTTAATCACGAATGCATGATTTGTCTAGAGAAATTATGCTCGGAAAGCGTAGGATATAAGATCTTAAATCTTAATGACGTACTATGTGTACTAAAGGATTTGGAGCATTGTAGCAAACTATGAACTTGGATATATCTTTAGAGTTTGACCTCAAATATAAACCCATCAGTTGAGAGTAACTAGAAAGTTTGCATTGAGGATGAATAGCAGAGTTGTAGTCATCACGTGTATACCGGTAGGTGTCTTGTAGAATAGGACTCTGAGGATATTCTAGGAGGTTAGCTTTTATAATAATAAGAATAATTATTATTATAATAATAGTGGAAGATCTAGTCAGTTTAGGCTTAGGGATGAATCGAATATATATAATAAGAATTGAATTGAAGTCAATTTATAAGAACTAGGCTCTAATTGAAAATGAAATTGCTTATTTTTCTAAGTTTCCTTTAAAGAATATCCTAGGTTTATATAGTTTATAATGAAATTCTAGTATATTCTATACTTATAAATAAGATCGATTTAAATCGAATCTTATGGAATTATTTAATATAAAAAGAAAATACAACCAATAAAATAAAAAATTTAATATACAACAATCCATTAAAATATATAATATACTATTTACAATATTATATTATAAAATAAACAATTTAATTTTATATATTAAAACTTAAATAAATCAATATAAACTTATAAAATTAAAAAAGAATATTATTATTTAATATATTTTTAATATAAATTCAAAAGATTTTTTATTTAAATTCAAAGGGGTAGAAAATATAACAAATTATATTTTTGAGTTGAAAAATAGAAAAGTAATTAAAAAGCTTTAAATATATCAATTTATAAAGTGTTATAAAGAATTAAAGATATATTTTAATTATATTTATAACTTTTAAAAAGCTTTATATAAAAATTTTAAGTTTTTTCAAAAATGATTTTATTTTATATCAAATATATAAGCGAAATATAATATATTAAATTATAATATGTGGAATTCCGATAAAATAGGTTTTATAATAAGAGTTATAATTGCTAATATGATAATTATTAATGCTAAGAGAAATAATAGGAATAAAGTAGTATAATTAGATAATAAGAAGTGGATAATAATAATTATATGTAGTAGTAATATAAAGGAAATTATACCTCTATTTCTAATAGTTCAAGGATAAATATATTTCTTTAATTAATATATAAAAACCGATTTTCCTATAGATTATATTATTAAATTTATTAATAATAAATAAACAAATAATGAGATAGAATTAAAATAATTAAAATATTTCAATAAATATATAAGAAATTATAAAGTAAGCAAATACCGAATATTAATATTAAATAAATACAAAAACTATAAATCTATAGCTTTTCAATTATATTATAAGAAAAATGATATTATATATATATACCTATTATTATATTTAAATTATTTAATTTAATCATTCAATATCAAATATTTTAATAAATTAAAATAAGAATATAATACTCAAATTGAAAAGTTTATAAGAGTATATATCAATAATATTTTTAAGGTCGAATTTCTTATAACTTTTAAAATTATATATTAATAATCGATTATAAATTGAAATATAAAATCTGAATTCCAAAAAACAGAATTAATATCTTTTAATTCTAAAGTAATAATCTCAAAATTAGATATTTGAATATATATATCTACCTCTCCTCCTTTTATTAATTTAGATCTCTAGATTTCTTAAACTTCTTATAATTCTACAAAAACTCTTTTTTAATTAATATTAATTAAATTTCAAATAAATTGTTATCAATTAAGCTCTTTTATATCTATATTTGAAATTATATTAACTTTAATTAAAAATATAAAAAGATTAATTTATAAAAATATATTTTTAAATATAAAGATTTATATGTTTTGAGAGATAAATAAAGTATTAAGTAAATATCAATACACAAAAAAATTTAATTATATTAAAAAGAAATATTTATCAAATAAAAAGTTACAGATATATTATTTCAATAAGAGATTAATATTTAGATTTAATATAATAAATATTAAAAAGAGGGGAATCTTAATAGAAAAGTATTTTTTAATTAATATTATAGTAAATACAAAAAGATAGATTATAATGTAAGAATCTATTAAAATAATATAATAAATTCTAGATTATTAAAATCTTAATAGTTTTAATCAATTAATTTAATTATTATTGAATAATATAAGTTTAAAGTAGTAAATTGAGGTGAAAGTGATTCACTCAATGATATGATCTACTCGATGATAAACCACGTTATATAAACAAAATATAATATTTTGAATAGAAGTTTCTATAATTTTAATAAAATAGGTTTTATAATAGAAATTATATATATAACAATAGTTATTATTAATATTAAAAGATGTAATAAAAGCAAATTAGTATAATTAGGTAATCGAGAATGAGCTATAATAATAATATATGGAAATAAAGAGAATGAAATTATTTCTTTATTTTTAATAATTTAAGAATAAATTCATTTTTTTAATTAGTATATTAAAATGAATCTTTTTATAAACTAAACTATTAAATGTATATCTAATAAATAAACAAATAATAAAACAAATTTAAAATAATTGAAATATTCCGATAAATATATTAAAAATCGAAAAAAGAGTAAATATCAAATATTGGTATTAAATAGATATAAAAATCACAAATTAATATTATTTCAAAACTATTACAAGAAAAGCAATATTAAATATATATATTTATTATTATATTTAAATTATTTAATTTAATTATTTAATATAGATTGTTTTAATAATCTAAAATGTTTATATAATAATCAAATTAATAAATTTATTAAAATATATATTAATTATATTTCAAAGATTGAATTTTTACAATTTTTAAAATTGTATATAAAAAATCAATTATTTCTTAGAATATAAAATTAGGGTTTTAAGAAATAGGTTTAATTTTATCTAATTCTAAAACTATATTTTCAAAATTAAATATTTGAATTTGTATATTTATCCCCTCTTTTTTCAATTTAAATTAATAAAACTCTCAAATTTTTTGTAATTGAATTAAAGCTTTTTTTTAATTAATATTAATTAAATCTCAAATAATTTATTATTAATTAAATTCCCTTATATTTATATTCAAAATTATATTAATTTTAATTAAAGATATAAAGAGATTAGTTTATAAAAATATATTTTTAAATATAAAGATTTGTATATTTTAAGTAGTAAATAAAATATTAAGTAAATATTAATATATGAAAAAAACTCAATTATATTAAAGAGGAGTATTTATTAAATAAAAGATTTTTACTATATTATTTCAATAAAAAATTGATATTTAGATTTAATATAATAAGTATTAAAAAGAAAGGAATTTTAATAAGGAAGTATTTTCTAATAAATATTATAATAAATATACAAAGATAGAATATAATATAAGAATTTATTAAAATAATATAATAGATTCTAGATTATTAGATTCTTTATAATTTTAATTAATTAGTTCAATTATTATTGAATAATATAGTTTTGAAAGTGTAAATTGAGATGAAAATAACTCATTCACTGATATAATCCACTCACTGATAAACCGCGTTATGGATTTTCACAGATATCTTTCTATATCTTAAGAAATTCAGACATGGAAATCGAGAATTTGTTGTGGAATTCGTTGATAAGCAGTATTACTCTTCCAGATCCGAAGAAGCATATGTCAGAACACCCATGAGGTGGATCCCGAGAACTGGTTTGTGATTGCCGTGTGGAGAAATGTGGGAGCTGATACGACTAGTTATATTAGAAATCAAGACTTCAACATGAATAGTAGAGGAATTACTAACTCACTTCTGATTTCCAACCAAACCTGTTTCGAAGCCTAAGCGCCAAAATTTTAATTCCCTGGGCATCCACCTGTTACCATACCTTACTCAAATGATCGAGATGATCGGTCGGCATGTGCTATCTTCAACGGTGGGATGCGACTGATACCAAGAGTACATAAAATCTGCCTACCCTTATAACATCATTCATACATATTTAACTCATACGAACATCTGGAAGTGCTTAAAAACTCCAATCGTTCTTAAATGATTCAAGCAAAATATTTTAGCTGAGAGTACTTTTCACCATAGTCATCATTATTCTATCTATCATAGAGAAGCGGATACACGGATATGCTGACCCGAAGTTCACGGAGATGTTGGAAGTACTTGAAGATTTTCTCAAGACAGGAGAAGAGTCGGGGGCTTCTATCGCTGTGAACATTGATGGAAAAAATGTGGTTGATGTCTGGGGAGAATTCCGAACGCAGGACAGGACCGAGGATTGGGAGCATGATACCATTGTCAATGCTTTCTCCACAACAAAGACTATTTGCTCTCTTGCTTTACTCATCCTAATCGATCGTGGAATTCTCAATATAAATGATAAAGTGGAGAAATACTGGGCTAAATTCGCTAGCGATGGAAAATCATGCATTGAGATCAGACACACCTTATCACATACGTCTGGTCTGTCAGGTTGGGACTCGCCAATGAGTTTGAAAGACCTGTTTGACTTTGATCTGAGTGCTACAAAGCTCGCAAAACAAGAACCTTGGTGGACGCCAGGATCATCATCTGGTTATTCGTGGACTTGCGGGTTTCTCGTGGGCCAATTGGTTCGCAAAACTACTGGCAAAACTCTTCAAGACTTCGTTGCCCAAGAAATAGCCGGCCCATTAGGTGTGGATTTTGAGATTGGATCGTCGGCAAAAAACTGCCATCGAATATCTCCTCTTATATTTCCGGTTTCAAAAGCAAGCCTTGCACAGACTGACACATCCTCAATATCAGCAAAGACATTCGGTAACCCAGCTTTGGATCCATCTGTAGTTGACAGTCCCGGTTGGAGAGAAGCTGAACTTGGCTCGGGAAATGGTTATGGCAATGCACTCTCAATTGCCACTATACTGAGTTGTATCTCACTTGGTGGTGAAGCAAATGGAGTAAGACTTCTATCGAATGAAACAATTGATCTCATCTTCCAAGAACAGTCGAAAGGGGTTGACTTGGTCACTGGGCAAAACCTTTGCTTCGGTATCGGATTTGGGCTTTCTGGGAACGACACGGAACTGAAGTGGTTGCCAGAAGGGCGTGTGTGTATGTGGGGTGGATATGGTGGCTCAATTGATATCATGGATCTTGAACGTCGTTTGACAATATCATACACTATGAACAAGTAAGATAATGCTGGCTTGGGGTCGCATCGTACTAAAGCATATGTGAGCGCCATATACGATGCAATTGGTGTTTGATGGTGTATTCCATGTATCAGCATATGACATTACGTGAAGTTAGATTGATTATAATTTGAACCTCAGGTTGCAATGGTAATATTTTATAGATAGTTGAATGCAACACGAGTGTGAGGAGTGGCACTTGCAATCTAATTTGTATTCATCGAGTATCATTCGTGATGTTTTGAGCAAAGTGAGCATTCTTTCTAAACTGATTTGGTGATTGAACACGAATGACAATATTTTTCATTCATTGACTGCGATTCAGTATTATAGAACGTGATTCCATTCATCTACATACCCCATGTGAGATATCTACCTGATAATACCTGACAAAACCGCCTCCGAGTTGTTGCCGATCCAAGACATCAATATAGCAAAAAAACATGTGTTGGCAGAATGCACTGACTTTATCAATCCACCCTGACAGTTATCTGGCTGTTTAATTTCCATATGCTTCTAATCATGAATCTTAGACATTGATCTAACTAGATTCTGCCCAGAAGTAGATTCCCTTGAACTGTCCCTCTGTACTTAACCCATTTGATTCTCTCTTATTCCAAAATGAAATTCTTTAACTTCTTTCCCGAATATTTTAAAGCCTCACCATTCATAATCCCATGCACATAAGCCTCTCCAATTAATTCTCGATTTTCACCATTACTTCCTTTCACTGGTCTTAGAACCATCGGTACCTTTGACCCGGCTATGACCCAAATTTCGTCTCCGTTGTCTGTATCCAATGTTTGCGCAGCAATACCCCAATATCCCTTTTTCGTCCTGAACATTCTTCTTCCCGCATAAGCAACCCTGAAAGACTCGTAAAAATTCCCATAATCTTTGTCAAGTTTCGCCTTTTCTGGATCAGTTAAATCTTCATTGGCTGCTATCTTAATGAGCTTTTCAAGATCTTTCCAAGTGGGAATAAGAGATTTGTTCAGTCTATGTTTAGACAAGTCGTTGACCAGTTGTTTAATTTTTTCGTATGCTTTTTGTAGCTTGGGTAGATCGGGGGTCTGCTGTGAAAATGCGTAGTTAAATGCAATTGTCAACTCAGAGACACGTACTGTGATAAAGTATCGGAAAGCGTTTCGTGCGTTCCCCATGGCCGGTGAATTTTGGAATGTATCTTTGATGAGGGTCCTCCAGAATCCTTCGAAATATGTCTCCGTCTCCTCGTCAACATGAGGATATTTCTGACTTGGATAATTTGCCAAGAGTTCCAGCACAGTATCAAATCCGAAATCGTTACCCATGATTTCTGCTTGATTAGCTGCGGACTCTGAGATAATACCAATTCTATAGCCTGTGATTGGAAGAAGATGTCGTGATTCCGGAGGTGGAAGAACTGGCACCTCAAATGGGATACCTCGAGCTGCATTCCATCTCTCACTTCCCGGTTGTGGTCTAGGATTCCCAGCCAAAGGTTGAGGGTTAGATGACGAGTTAAAATCGGGTACCCAAGAAGGAAGATTTTCAGTGGCCCGGACCGAGTTGGGATTTTGAGTTGCCAAGCTGTAATCTTCTACTAAAGAAAGAATGTTCAAATCTTTGGTTTCAAAAATCACTTCAAGTGCTGCTCTCGTATAAACGCTTGCTACCGTTGGATCTCGTTGATAATCGGGGGTCATGTCCAGTGGGATCGTCTTTCCTCCTTTTTCCCAAATGCCTCTGATTGCATAGATCTTATCTTTTGGATTTGTTGCATCGAAAAATCTTGAATAATACAACAACTTCTCCAAATCCAAGACTTTTCCCATTTCTTCCGATCCAAGTGCAGCCATATCTCTCATACTTTGGAAGATTGACTGGTTGTTCAAAGTATTGTTCACGTAAACAGTCCCTTCAATATCGTCCACCGATTCAATCAACAACTCCATCAATAACGTTCCCAATCCTGTTTCTCTAAGTACTTTCGCACAAGCTGTTATGTCTTCCCATCCAATAATATCACTCCCACAAACCACAACAATGTTTCTTGGCAGAAATGCTTCTTGAACAACCCATATGCGACTAAACCAAGTACGTTGTAAAAATGCTGCATATTCTAACCATTTCCAAGTTTCGATTTCTTCGATACCCAACTTTGAATATATATCCCAATCCTCAAGATCGGTAATACGCAAGTCAATATAATTTTCCGAGGGTATTTTCGAGAGAAGATTTATGACTTCAATAGCATATGCTGAATGGAAATCTGAAACTCCCAGCCAAATTACTACCTGCGAGCATTTTGTGTAGATTTCTCCCATCATTCCAACTTGTATGTTCCTCTCCTCGATGCTGTCTTGATTAATGCATATGCCATCTATCCACATGAATTTTTCTCTCTGGAAATTCCGTTCTTCCCCCTTCTTGCTGTCATCTTCATTATTGTCCTTACTGAATTCCTTCAGTGCCAACAATAAGCTTTCCGTAATTAACAAGCTCTGACCATTGCAGAGGATAGAATGTTCGCGTTTATCATTGCTACGGTGGATTTCCTCTTCCGGACTGAGACCATGGTATAGTGGGTCAGACCAGGTGTATGAGAGACAATCGTATGCGGGCGCGTTCTCGAGATTTACTTCATGTAGTGTTACTCTAACTGGCTCTTCAGAACCAGAGTCCAGACTTAAAAGACGGATGAAGGGAGAAGGGAGAATAGAAGGGTAAATTTCGCCGTCAGGAGACGGCATTGCTCAGTAAGTCGATCGTAAAATAAAAGAAGGAGGAGTGGGCTAAACTGAGGATGTGATCACAGGGACAGATTGGGCGATGCTTCATATGTATAAAGGCTGGTGACATAAAATATGAGAAAGCTGACGCACTAAGCGATCTAGAAACTGTCTTCAAGGATGCATCCAAGATGGGGGCGGTTGCTGACATGCAGAAAAAAGGGATTTTGTCAACGCTGCGCCCCACAGCCAAGAAATAAATTTCTATTATTAACGGCTGGGTAAAGCATGACTGATTTCATGCTCATGAAAAGATCTGTTAATTACCTTGGAGATCACGCTAGGACTCAAAATTTGAAAATTTGAAAATTATTCTAGTTAAATGCAATCTATGTTTTCCGTAGCACTCCGCTCAGAATAGACTCTTGAACAACATTGCTTGACACAAGCGATAAAGATACAATAAATATAGAACCAAAGAGAGAGGCCAAGAACCCTAAATTGTTTCACCATAAACTCCTAAATACCGATTCCCAGCCATCATTATTTCCATCATTGATCCAATTATTTGCTACAATCGGGACATTGATTGAGATTGACCGTTTTCAACTGGCTTTGACTCTCACACTTTGCTGCACTTCCTGCTGGAGGACATATATTTTTATGAAGCTTTTGATTTCCCAGTTTCCCATCTGTGCTATGCGCTGTGCATTTGGTCTTGGTACTAGGGCATATTCGACCAGCTGCCGGGCATTTTCTCAAGCATTGAGATACAGCTTTGCCCCCAGAACAAGATGGAATGCTCACGCAGAGCTTACCATGTAAGCAGTCGTCATCTGTGGTACATTTGATAACTTTGGCAGATGCGGGAGCATTGCGAGGGGCACCTTCGTTGACAGCTGGCAGACCGTCGTTGAGACCCTGGAGAATGAAGTTTGCAATAGGAGAGGTCGTTAACGAAGCAAGATAATCGGTGATATTGGTAGAGATCTTTCCAGTGCCAACTGATGGGCCGACAAAGTTCGTTGAATTTTGTGACGTTGATGAGTACCCAGTTGAATCCTGAACGCATAGACTAGAATCCTTCCAGACGGCGTCGGCTGCGTATTGCCAGAGATTTGTGTAATTATACACGGTTTGTGGTGTGTAGTAAATCCGACAATCTGCGGCTTCGTAGGCGAATTGTAATGGAATCTCTTCATCTTTGCGTACTTGATCACGAAGGTTTATATCCGCAAAGTAGACAAACACGCTGAGTTGTTCAGTTCTATTCGGAAGAAATGTTGCATCGATTGAGCTTTGGTTTTGCAAAAGTTTTTGAGTAAAATCGATATTGGCATCAAGAGTAAAAGTATCGTAGTCACGGGCGCCGCGGGATCCAGCAGGAGCCTGCATTGGTCCTGTTGTTGGTGTGCCTCCCACTACAACGACGCGAACTCCAGCTTCATGGCGAAACATCTCGATCAAAAGAGCACAAGAAGAGTGACATATACCGTCAGATAGCTACGGATATTAGAATACGAAAACTGAATGATGTAGGAAGATGGCTTACAATGATTATATCCTCTGCTGCAAATGGTGGCTCAGCGCCTGATGGTGCCGGATTTGAATCATAGCCGTACACTGCAAAAGCGTCATCGCTGACATCTAGACCAGTACCAGATGCGTCGAAGATAGGATTAGATAGGTTGTATCGTGCCTAATGATGTTAATTAGATGTGAACGCCAGATATCAAGTGATAATACTCGAGAACGAAGAAAACCTACAATGTTCGTGAAATTATCACCATTGTATTGATCAGGTCCGAAAAATTCCTGCCAATCTGTGAAATTGCGATTTGTATCCGCATTAATCCGATTGGTGATAACCCATTCATCAGCCGCTAAGACATACTTTGTCTCGTCGTTTTCGGACAGATCATCCCAGTATGGAGTCAAAGTCTTGCCAAGTACATCGGCAGAAGCATGGGCTCGCATACGGGAACCAGCAAAAGGATCGATATTTGGGAAAAATTGTTTGAATGTATCGATTGCAAGTAAAGATTGTCCGCCATAGTTTTGTTGAAGATCAATAACAACCTTCTTTAGGCCGGCTGCCTGGGTTTGGTTAATGAACTGAGATATCGTTTGTTGGAAACTAAAGACAGCATCCCCATCTACGTCAAAGCTTGGAATGCTTAAAACAGAAACAGAAGTAGAGTTGAGAAAATATCCTGTTAATTTATTAGAAACCACACAGTCAAGTTAATTAAAGAAGCAATGTGTTGCAAAACTCTCAAACAACATACC